CTTGGGTTCCGAGTGGAACATAGGGCTTCAAAAATGCATCGCCACTTTGCCCTACTTTCTGCTGTCCTCTTTAGCTGGGCACATTATTGCCCATAATCTCCCATCTCCCCGTCACACGATCTCCTTCATATCACCCTCGGATCAACGCCAAACTTGTCATTTCCCACTCAGGTTCCATTCGAGTTATGGCCTGACAAGCGATGTCTCTTGACGGCCTTCTCAGTCTATCTCCAATCCATCTCCATTTTTTCCGCATATCTGTTGAGCAACAAGTCTTTGGTTACTTTGTTCCTATAGTTTGTTGTTTCTATTTTTTTTTGATATGTAAAGGCGACTCCCTTAATCGATTTCTGAATATTAAAACAGCGATGAACTGAGTTATGAATAATACAGACAAAACATCATTTAATTTGTGAAGAATATTTAGTTAGCAACGGTATAGGCATAGAAATGGATAGAGATTACGAATAAAGCAAGTTTATATAGGAAGCAGATTGTCATGATGAAGACCGGCTTGTTGTCGTATGAACGTTGGAAGCCTATCTCTGTGTCCTACTGTATAACTGAGAAACCTTCCTTGAGACTCATGAAGTCACAAAACACTACATAGACGGAGAAAAAGACGATCATTCTGTTGTAAATCTGTGGTTCTGTTAAACAGTAATGACATCGAAAACTCAGCTGCAAAGTCCAGTCTAAATATAAAACGAGAACTTGGAACCAAGCAGAATATTCTCAACAAGGTGTGATCAGAAGCTCTGTCCACAAGAATCTCAAATCTACTCTTCTCGCAGACTATCCAAGAACAGAGTCAACTTGATTCAATCAAACAAAATCACATCGCTAAACAACACATCATTAATGCATTGCACAGCCACAAATATACGAATTAAAATCTGGGATTAAACAGTGACAAAGACAAATGACAAGGATCAAGTCGATATATGATATATGTGTCAGGACAATGATATGCAAAAGCATAAGAGAAAAACGGACTACCGTTAGAAAATTAGTTATGATTAATGGTTCAAGAGGGATTTCCCAAAAAACTTTTTCAGTCACTCAGATAATCCCGAATTATTCGAATCCAGACTATTAGCAGAGAATCATCTTTGTTTACAGAGATCAGACATTATAAAGTTTTACTCTAAAGAACCTGTTATTCAGCTATGGTGAGGGAGTTTTAGCGTCTTCCACAACTCTGTATACAAGATCTTTAGGTAGAAACAGTAATCGACAACAGTACATCACGTGATGCGATTTTCTTCGATTTGAAGCCAGATATGATCTTATACTACATCTTTCCTTCCTTTCTTTCGGGAAATGCACAGCTGATTAGATATGCGTGTGAGTGCATATCGTGATCATGTAGTGGTCATTCGATATAATTTTGTGATTAAAAATGATAAGAAATGGAAACAGACTAGTGATTTAAACAGGCCGCCAAAATCATAACTCTACACTTTTTAAAGAAAGAAAAGACTTACTACTGTTTCGTAAATGAAGTAATTCTTATTTTTAAAACAAGGTTAACTAATTAGAGGATTTTCATCATGAGCTGACATTAGTTAGAGAACCATTGGAAAAACTGGGAGTACTGGATGGCTGTTTCGTCTTAGTTTGGGACTCTTCATCAGTACGCACCCACCGGGATTCGAACCCAGGACCTTCTGGTTACAAGGCGAGCTCGTATACCATTAAGCCACTGGGACCCGATCCAATGGTCCATGAATTCTAACTTCTGCCAATTCACGACATAGCGCGACCCCTAGCCAATGTCTTCGGCGAGTATTTGTCCTCACGACCTCGACCTGCTGCACCCTACTGGTCACGACTTCTCACTAGAACCCCAGGCAACTACCTACCTGAATAGGGCAAGTCACTAGTGAGCATCTCATTGATATGCAAGTGTTGTAGGTTAACTAATTATTTTTTCGAATTATTTAATTGATTTCATATCACATACAAAAATCTCCATATCGCTTCACAGTGTTCATTTGAGTCAATCTTTAATTCAGTGACCAGCGGGTAGATTGAAGGGTTTGACCATAAGAAAGAGAGTGTATGAGAGAAAGAGAAATAATCAGTATTTTCAGCATAAAGGTCTATTGCCATTAGTGTAAAATCGCTCTCTCAGTAATATTTTACATTAGAATCACTTTAAAAACTATGTTTCACCATAATTCTTGTCCCCTAAAAATGTCGGTCAATGATTTTTACTTTAAAGAGAAAAGGCATTTGAGGAGACAATTCTCTCAAAACTTTTATTTGAAAAGAAGTCAATTAATTAACCGATTACTTAGTTAATTAATTATTCCGTTAACTAATAAGAATAAATTTACTCAAACCCATATAAGAAATATAGTATTAACTGCCACAAACTTACCCTCATAACACGTACACACATACACACAGGTATACTTACAATGAAATCCCTATAGTAACATGAATAGATTAGATAAGAAAAGAGTCTGTAATCTATGCTAACTGTTCTTTCAACTTTTTATGCTTCATGCAGGCAATTCGCTACTTTAGACACTTTGATCTGTTCGTATCGAAGGATGGGAGGAAGTTAGACGAATCGATTATTATTCCTACTATATTTTTGGTATTGTTAATTATGAACTCCACTGCTGATTGTTAATAAAATTAAAATTATTAAAATCAGATATGAAGATGAATGAAGTTGATTTCTGCATAAAATAGATAACCCCACAACTGAAATTTGACTCACTGAGGTTTTAATTATTCCCAAGGTAGATTTCGACATCAGGTATGACAGTCTGTTTGAAAGATGAAAGATGAACTCATCCAAAAATATCACTTTGTTGAACCCTGATAATACTCTCTATACACAACTCTCCCCATAAATTCATCAGGTAGAAATAGAAGCAACAATAAGAGCTAAAGTGTGGCAGTATGTATAAAAACGCTAAATATTTCATTCTGTATAATTATTATTGTTTGAAATAGAGTGATTATTATTTTATTATATTCCTGGACGACAAAGTATAAAAAATTCACAATACCTTATTTGGCTCGCACTTTATATGATGATAAAAGTGTAAGGCATGAAACTATCAACACTAAGTAAGATGCCCTTCATATTGGTTGGAGGATTTCATCATGAGCTGACATCACTTAGAGAACTATTAGAAAACCTAGGAGTACTGAACAGCTGTTTCGGCCTTGTTTTGGACTGTTCATCAGTACGCATCCAACGCCAGGGTTCGAACCCAGGACCTTCTGGTTACAAGACGAGCTAGGTCGTAGACCATTAAGCCACTTGGACCGGATCCAATGGCCCATAAATTCTAACAACTGCCAATTTACTACATAGCGTGACCACTTCTTAATGTCTTCTTCGATGAGTTACTGCTTCACCTTCAACCTGCTGCGCTATGTTATGAATTATTATTATTATTACAGCTTCGAAATGATTTTCATAAAATTCAGATGAACCTCCATCACCCACGTGATATTAGGCTCTTATTTTATCTATTGTTAGGCAGTGGGATTATATTATTATCATTATTACTTCCTTGGGTTCGAGTGGCACACAGGGCTTCGGCACTACTGCTCCTCTTTGTCTTGTACAATGTGGTCTTTTTAATCAGGCTTTAAAATTGCCCATAGCCTCTCATCTCCTGACACGATCACCTCCATGTCACCCTCAAAGCAACGTTAACCTTGTCGTTTTCCATTTGGGTCCCACTCAAGCGATGTCACACAACGGTCTCCCCATTTTTATCTCCGGAATATTTGTTGAATAGCAGGTTCTTGATTGGTTCTTCTTCCTGTTGCTAATTCCTTCTGGTCAGCCACTTGATCTTCAGTATGGAACCAGTAAAGGCAGCTATTGACGAGAATCTGTTGGAAATACCTTTTGTGACACTTAATACAAGTTTCCGACCCATAAAGAAAAAGTAACTTGACATTAGAGTTGAAGGTCTGAATTTCGTTGTTTATGCTGTGGAGTGCAGAAGAGTTTCAAACTGACTTCACTGTGTTGAAAATGTGCCTTGCCTTCCCTGTCCTGGCTGGTTTTGACATCCTCATCCGTGAGGCATTCCTGAATTTGAAGTGATGTTGCCCAGAAAATTGAAGGAACTGACCTCTTTTATGTTTCTTCCATTGATAGTGATTAGTACTGGTTGTTGCTGATGGTTGGTTGGTTGGCCATCTTCATCACCTCCGTCTTCTCCTTGTTGACTGGAAGTCCTGTCTTTCCTGCTTGGTTTTTCAAATAACGTTTTGGTTTCCGCCTGTAAGTCTTTGAGTGTGTGTGGCATTAGACAGTGAAATTAGGTCAGCAAATATGCCGAACTTTGGCTTTGTTAAGGATTTCATTTATCAACAGAATTTAATCATAACACTCAGTAAAAAATTGGCTTTCAATGGTTTCAAGTTTGACCACATATTGATATCAGTTGGAGAACTATTGAAAACCAGGGATTCCTGGACAACTGCTTCGCACTAGTTTGTGACTCACCGATAGTACTCACTCACTAGGATGGGTTATACATTTTCTACTAGGAAATAACTCAAAATTAACAATTCTATGAAACATTGAGCCACATTTTATCCTTGAGGATATCTTTATACTTTTTTAAATATTTTGGAGATCTTGATATTGTAAACCCAAATCATCAGGTTTTAAACAACTACTGATGTTTTTAATATTTTGTTTAAATTTTGACCACGGATTAATATGAATTAGAGAACCCTGGTTTTAAGTGGTTTTGTAATTGGTATCAATCCGTGGTCAAACTTAAAACAAATCAAATCAACACAAACTATCTCTTCAAAATTCGCTTTGCTATCTGCTCAGACCACAAATATGCAGTGGTGACAAGAACACAATATGAAGACAATGTTGCAGACAAGAGTTCATAAACATTTATATTTTCCAATAAGAAATCTGTTATTAAATCTATAATTGTTTACTGTATTCCTCATTTTAGTTTATCGGTAATACTTTAATCATATACACTACACAGGTCCTTGTGCTGGTGGATGTCCATTGGGTTTCCAGTGTCGTAATGGTCAGTGTGTGTGTCGAGATAAATGTCCACCGAAACATGCAAATGAACTTGATGTATGCGGTACAGACGGGAAACTATATCCAAGTGAATGTGAACTGAAACGTCAATCGTGTATTCAACAAACTAATATTGATGTTGACTTGACTGGTGTAAAATGTCGGCATAATAATCCATCTCTTCTACAAGATTCTAATGGGAAAATGTCAGGAAATATACAAGCTGGTAAGAAAACGTATTCAGTAATTTTCATTCTTGTTTTATTGTTACTCTGCAAATGTTCCCTGTTTGCATATATAGTTAACATTCTATACACATGAGCTCAATTTATCCAGATGTATTCCAATCAAGCCAATAGTTCAAATAGTGAAACATTAACAGTAATATTGAAATTGGTATCATGGATACTGACTGTGCAACAAAATAAACTGAGTGGTGTTCGTTAGTCAACATAAATGAATCCGATTAGTTGTTTATCTGACTGGCAGACAGAGATGAGCAACATTTAGGCAGTTCAAATTTTGACTCGTAGACTGTCAAGCCTGACTGTAGTTGGGTAATAATAAGTTGTTTCAATTTGTGAATTACAGTCTCAGTGTATTGTATTTATGAAAGACGTACCTGACAGTTTTGTCCTTCACATCTTGAGTTCTAGGTGGAACATCAGACTGTTGCAACACCTTTCCTTTCCACCTGGTTTACTGCCTTCATTTTAAGCTGACTTTATGACCCCTTCTAAGCCTTTACTTCTTCCTCATGTAATCTGTGTGTCACCCAATCCGGGTCATAGTCAGCAGCTTGTACATTTTCTGAGCAAAAGGTTGTAGTCTGCTTTACTGTCTGCCAACATTCCTTGTTGCTTATACTTACTGGTTGGTCATTTAGTCTTCACCATAGAAATGGCAAAGGTAGGTGTTGATGAAAGTCTGATGCGGTGCCAAGTCTCTGAACTATATAGAAGTACTGACTTTTTATTATTGTCAAAAATGTGGATATTTCGTCTAAAATTGCACTTTTAATTGGTATCTGATTGTATTCACACATGAATCTATGTTCAGCTCAATATTTCTTACTAAGGAATACAATACGAGGTGTTTTGTTTCATTATACTCAATGTTACACGCATTAAGTTACTCTATGGTAAGCACTGCATGACATTTATTTTGTACTTGTCGTCATCTATTAATATGGTGTAATTGTCACTTTAAGTAACGCCATTCTTTCCCGTAAACTTGGTCTTGTATCATTCACTGTTGGAATGGCGAACCTCGTTATTTAATCACTGAAACTCAGATGCCATTTTATTCACAATATTCAACACGAACGAAAGATAAATTCGATTTTTCTTAACTGGATGAAGTGTAGCGATTAGCATCCTTAGACTCAGTTAGTATGTAAGCTATAAAAAGTCTTATCATGCATGTATTTAGAATATGTTACTATTGTGTAATGAATAAATGTGATTTCTACAACCGATGAAAATATTTAACAGTAAATCAAACAAATGGAAACGATAATTAGCAAGACCGATGACAGTGGCTGGCGGTTGCGCTAAAATCACAAACTGATAGAAGTTAATTTGATTCAGTTTAGATTTTCCCGTCGATTGATTGGACCGAAGTGCTCCATCTCACGTTGATATGTCGGCTCCTTGTGCAGATGCTTTGATGATGTCTGGTCATGTAACCTAAAGTCAGTTGGTGGATGGTGACTAGCAATGGGATCCAGAATATGCGTCCCACTTAGGACTCGTCGTCCGGATAACGCTTTGGCGTTTGAAACTATGGGCATTGGGTTCAACCCTCAGTGGGAACGCCATCACTCACTGGAGAATGCAGGCACATCCAGCTGACAAGTCCCAAATAGGAGGAAATGCGTATCCTGGATTCCAGTGTTAGTCACCATCCACCAGTTGACTGGTAGAACTTAGGACTGAACCGGGTCTCAGTGACCGAGTGATCTACGAGCTTGTCTTGTAACTGGAAGTTCCTGGGTTCGAACCCCGATGAGATGTGTACTGATGAAGAGTCCCAAACTAGGGCGAAATAGCTGTCCAATATTCAAGCGCTCGTTTCCAGTGGTTCTCTAACTGATATCAGCTTGTGGTCAAAGTTGAGACAAATCAAATCCCTAAAGAATAACTCTTGGTAATTTTGTTTTTTAGCCCAAAAAGGTGAAAATACAGATTCGTGATAAGGCAGATATCAGAAAAGTTATGCTTTCTTATGACTTCATTCGTTAGAAGGAACTTAAGACCATCTTGTAAGATTGTTAGACAAATCAGTCACATGTGAGATTACAGCGAGTGGAAGGTCTGTAGTAGCAGATGACCGGCTTGCTGTAAGTCATGTGAGCAGAATATGACTTATAAATTCAACAGACAGAGTAACTCAACTGAGAATAGATCTGTTAGTCATTATTCATCATGTTAGATTATTCTACAAATACAGTTTCTCAATTCGCTATTAAAACTAGTGGTGAATGCTAGGAAGTGAAGTTCACGATTTGCAAACTGGTTGGCAATTCGCACTTTACACAGTTCGAATGGTGAGATTTCACCTTAGTTTCTTTTGGAAACCAAGTTATTCCGATCACAATATGCGATGTGCTTGATACCATAAGTGGTAATCAGGAAAGCAAGTAAATTTGTATAAAACTATAGACAACTGACTGATTGAGATGAGTAGTTGCGTACTACTGATATTAATCAGCAGTGCTTGATTGCTGATGAGCTCAACCCCGAACGGGCGAAACGCCCATCCGGTGTTTAGATCACCCCGATCTGGCTAGCAAGCACTGCTGGTTTATGTGCGTGGTATGCAACTGTTCGTGCCACTCAGTCAGTAGTACATATTTTTATGCTGACTGTTAAGAAAGCCTTCAAGATACGATTTTACTGTTTCATCAGTCTCACCTAGAGATGAGTGCAAACATTTGAGTTGTTTATGTCACGTACAACGTTAACAATCCAATAAACAGAGGATCACTGTATGAATTCCAGCACATTTTACATGAAGCGTTTCTTAAATTTAAAAAAAGCGTAAAATAAAATTAGCATTGCTGGTTTATCGGTAGAATGCTTGCCAACTACGCACGTGTCCTGGAGTTCGATCCCTGGCTGATTCACTGCTTAACATTGTTTAGTCGATAGTAAGTCTGGTTGGGCATGAGGCTAGAAATCCCATCCCGTGAAAAGGAATAATGACACTGTTACTGAAACTTCAAAGCTCACAGCTTAAAGCCCTATCTCCTAATCGGGACACATCGAAATAAAATAAACAGTAATAATAATAAATCATCATATCGGAGCGAAATTTAACGAAATGTTAATCCAAGGGAAGAAATCCCCACAGCTCACGGTAAAGGGTATTTTGCTTGATTAAAAAGTATCAAGACAAATGTTAGCATAATAATGAGAAGAAATGGGGATGCCTAATTAATTTACCAAGTAAGGTGTAAAGGAACTATACATCAAGCGATAATTCAAAGTGCATTGTTCACTTGACTAAGCTACATCTACGCACATTTCTCAAGCTACAATAACTATATGCTGTTTGTAAATTTTAGATGAAAATTGTGAAGATCATCTCCTGAAGACAATACACTCAAATGTTCATTATGCTTACGGTGATTTGTTGCTTCAGATGAATTTCACACCTATGTCACACGAATCTTGTATCACTAGGATAATTAATTTCATCAGAACTTCCTTTGTTAATAAGTATTGTATTATTTAGATGTTTACAAAGTCAATGACTCGACATTTAGAAACCTGTTAATCTATTTTTTTGATGTTTTGATTAGAGAAGAAATGCACTTTATTTAAAGAAACTAAGTGTTTCTCCTCTTTTTTTACCCATTAAAGATGGTGTTAGATTACCGAGTTGTACGTGTAATAAACTTGGTGCCTTGTCAGAAGAATGTGACTACTTAGGCAATTGTCGATGTAAATGGGGTGTTGGTGGCTTGAAGTGTGATCAGTGTCTTGGGAACTACTGGGGCATACAAAATAATCATGAATGCATTCGTAAGTTAAATATACTTGTTAACTCTGTAAAATAAACTTTTTGTATTATTTATTTGGATGAATTTGAAACAGTAGTCGAACAAGTGGCCAGGGGATAACCAATTAAGAGGGCGTGGTTATGTAGCCACTGAATCGAACTATAGAATTGGTTTTATTTTCGATTGAATAACCGAAACTTTTCCCACTTGTAATGCGAATGACTGATACCTTATTGTTTTTCCAACAGTATTTACGATTCTTTGTTTTTGCTGAGATTTGAAATGCTAAACATGCTGTTTATTTCTTAATAAGTACAGTACGAAATTCATTCAGTCAAAAATTAGTATTCTTATGATGTACAGATGCTTTAACAAAGTAATAAAGACATATCTGCAAAATGCAAACAAATTAGCTGTTAACATTTTATCTCACTTAGTTTATGGTAGTCAATCGGTGAGCTAAACAGAGGCGGTTGAGGGGATTTCCGAGAAGCAGGAATGAAATCAGGAAATTATAGATATGTATACAGACGTAGATGTAAGCACCGACATGTATGTGCTGCAAACATGAATCCAATCTCTGACTTCAGTACACCCGAAGTAAAACAGCAGAGTAGAAATTTAAAAAATCTGCAGAATTGTTTATAAAAGTTCACTCTGAAGATGTTCACTCTAAAGTCTTCAGTATTAATATTTTGATGTCACAAAAAGCATACTGTCCTGTCTAACTAAACTTTAGAAATATTTGAATTTGGAAAGTTATCAACATTAAATCTGTTTCAAAGTAATTTCGTTGATTTCTCAATTTTGGAGTATACTAATTTTTTTTAATTTATTAATATGGCTGTAATTGTTATTTATTGGTTAAAGCTCTCGACTTTCAAACGGTGGGTCATGAGTTCAACCTTCTTTCAAACTACCCAAATCTGCTCAGCCAGCCAGCATCCACAGTTTTCACACAATAACTGCGGCTTATGATTAACTGTTGGGAAATGCAAGTTATTGTTGAGTAACAATGTAGGACTTAAATAGTTCTCTATAACTGTTATTACTATACCTTTGGGTTCTGAGAGGAACATATGGCTTCAACACAACGTCTCCACTTTCTTCCGTTCTTTGTGGTCCTCTTTACATGACCCCAAGATTGCCTATAGCCTCTCATCTCAACCGGACATGAACTCCTCCATGTTACTAAGGGACCAGCACCAAACTCACCACTTCCTATTCAGGTTCCACTCGAGAAATATGTTGGTGCCCAATGTCACCTAGAGGTCTCCTCAGCTTATATCCGATCGATCTCCATTTTCTTCTAATATTTATTTAGCAACAAGTTCTTCATTGGTTCGTTTCCAGACTTTCTTAGTGCTTATTCCATCTGTCCGGTCATCTGGTGTTCAGCATGGAACCAGTGAAGACAGCTGTTGATAAGAACCTGCATCAGGCTTTTTAAAAAATGCTCTTCATGACTGATTCATCAAGTTTCCTACCCATATAGAAGAACTGACTGACTTACCATTAGTGATGAAAATCTGAATCCTTCTCCTTATGCTTAGTTCTATACGCTTTGCAATAATTCCCTAAATGTTATTATATTGATTAGAGAACAAACATTGTTCTTTTGGATAAATTATTGATCAAGTCCGTTAGGTATATGTCCATGTTAACTGAAGATTAATCGTTATTGACAACATTACTGTTTTTATAAATAACACTGAATCGTTAAGATAAAAAAATTACAAGACTGAATATGTGAACAGATTGTTATTAGATTAGAGTTCAAAACGTGTGTATAGTGTTGTAGTATAGTATTAAATTGAGAGTCAATATATCAAAATGAACGATCATGTGTAACAATGATACATGGTCACTAGCACTTACTTTGACGCATGACGTTCAATTTAGTACTGTCTCCATGCATATTATCTCATACACACGGTTTGAACTGTAATCTATTAGTGATTTACTTACAACATATACTTTTCGAATTTTTGATGTTAATAATTCCATTTTACTCAAGAAAAAAATGTAATGCTGTCACTTACAATTATTCCTGAATTATTATGCATATATAAGTGTAGAACTTGAACAAGTTATCAAAAAGAATTCTGCTCGTGTAATAATCAATGTTGTCATATTGTTAATTTAAACAAGACTTCGTTTTAAAGTCTTGTTCCCTTTTTCCAACAAAATGTGTATGAAAGTATTATTATTATCATTATAGTTCCCTTGGGTTCCTAGTGGAACATAGGGCTTCAACTGCACGTCTCCACTTGCTTCTTTCTTCTGCCGTACTTTTCACATGCATCCATGTTAATCCATACTGTTTCAACTCCTCTTCACACGATCTCCTCCATGTCACCCTTGGACGTCCCACTCGCCGCTTCCCTTTCGAGTTCCACTCGAGCGATGGCCTGACGCGCGATATCACCCAGCGGCTTCCTCATCGAGTGTCCAATCCATCTCCACTTTCTCCTGCATATTTGTTGAGCGATTGGTTCTTGTTTTGTTTGTTCCTATAGTTTGTTTCTTGCCTGTGATTCTTTCCGGCCATCTGATCTTGAGTATAGAACGAAGACAGCTGTTGATAAAGGTGTGCAACAGGCTGTTGGAAATATTCTTTGTGACCCGCCAAGTTTCTGATCCGTATAGAAGAACTGACTGACTTGACGTTTGTATTGAAAATCCGAATTTTGTTGTTGATGCTGAGTGACGAAGATTTCCAGATTGGTTTCAGGTTGATGAATGTTTTTCTCGCCTTCCCGATTCTCGATTTGACATCCTCTTCCGTTCCTCCTGTAGTTGAGACAATGCTCCCTAGATAAGTGAATGAAGTAACCTCTTTCAAATCTTTCCCGTTGATGGTGATTGACGCTGGATGTTGATGCTGTTGTTGTTGGTGGTTGTTTATTTTCATAACCTCCGTCTTGTCTATGTTCACCTGGAGTCCTGTCTTTGCTGCTTCCTCGACCGGTTTGTCAGTTTTCGCTTGTAAGTCTTCGATTTTGTGTGAAATCAAACATAAATCATCCGCGAAACGTATTACCAATAACAAAACTTATCATTGTGTGTAAACTATTGAAATATAATTATACTTTATCATATTTGTTTGCTTTGACTTATTTTTCCCTAAAGCCTGCTCATGTCATCCTCTTGGTTCAGTTGATTCATCGTGTAATCAAGCTACAGGTCAGTGTAATTGTCGTTCAGGTGTTGTAGGACGACAGTGTTCAATGTGTCCAGATGGCAGTCAAGTAACAGAAAGTGGTTGTAATATGAAAGAAGAATACAATGAAGGTAAGAACAAAACAAACAGACTATGTTATTCAACTGATTAGTATTTATCCTAGACAACTCGTTAATCAAGATATTTCAAATTGCGTCGTTTTTATCCTCTGTGATTTCTGATTTTAATGCGAAACCTGAACTACCCCTGATGGTCAGATTATCCACAGGCTGATAACTGGCATCATTGGTCACTTGGAGTAGTGAATAACTACTTATGATAATTAGAAGTATATAAAAAATTGGTGTCAGACTATTCTTTTTGCTGTTGCTTTTATCCATAATTCATCTCTTAGATACTAGTGAGACTTGCAGTAGAAAATGTGTCTGATATGTTTACCTTTAAAAGACGTCAATGAGCTTCTGTCGTTCGATTCTGTTACTTCCGGCACAGCAGTTGCAAATATCCATGCATTTGTAGGTGGCCACTAAGGAAATCCGATTTACTTCACCTATTTTGTGTTATTCCCACTAACAATAAATCCAGTGTTTATTTATTTTATTCCGTTGTGTTCCCAGTAGAACATAGGGCTTTGAAGTTTCGGTAGTAGTGATGTTTATTTTAACAGGGTGGGGTGGGGTTCCTAGCCTCGCGCACAACCTTCCTTCTTCGCCAGGCTTACCAACTAGTCTTGAATCCTAATGTTAAATGTTTGAAAAGTATAGATTCAGGAATTGAGAAATCTTTCCAAGTATTTAGTTTTAAGCAATTGATTTATTTCAGGTTGATTTTCTTCCCAAACACAAATCAAACATAGATACACTGAAAGCTTCTAAGCAAAGAAAAGTTGTTTCTTCTTCAGCAGTGCGCTCACACAAACCTCTCTTGGATCGAATTCTGGACTTTTAGATTACCCGGAGAATTCGATAATCATTCATTCAGTAAATCATGAATTCCAGTTTTGTCAATCGAACGCCTAATCTGAAATTAAATTGTTGAGCCACACTTCGTAGCATACAAATATGGAGATACTGACATCTCACCCGAATTATTTGTGCTAAATTTGCTGGCGTTCGTCACTTAGCGACTAGAGTTTGGATACAGGAGTAATCATGAATTCATCTAGGGTTCTGGTTAGGTCTTGTGTAAGAGTGCTAAGAAGTGAGGACCAAAATTCAACAACTCCTAACATCAAGACTGATAACTTTTCACTGCTGTATAGATGCTACTTAGACTTTCACAATAACCTCGTTTGCCAGCTGTCCTCATAAATAAGTGAATTCAAGCATCCTGCTTATGTGCAATAGCAGTTTTAATATGGCTGAACGAACTAGAGTAGACTGGCAGTGGATGGTACTTAGGAATTTACTGAACTGAACTCATTATTACTGTTTCTTTCAATAATTCTTTAAATCGACATCCTTTCTGTATATAACAAGAGCTAATTAGGAGAGATTAAGCTCTACATAGATTTTACGCTTAGTGGCAAACTTCAGTTGAATACAAAACACACTGTTAGAATATCTATAAAACTTCAATATTTGTGGTATTCATTACATGCTCATTAGTGACTGACTTTATGCAGGAGGTTATCTGGAGTTCCACCAAGTTAGGCAAAAGTACAGTTACTAGCCTATGAGTCTAACGATTTAAGTCGCGCTTAAAATATCTCAGTGACTGAGTAGTCTAAGAGCTCGCCTTGTAGCTAAAAGTACTTAAATTCAACCCCAGTGGATGTGTTTTGCCGAAGAGTGCCACTCTAGGATGAAACAGTGGTCTAGTATTCCTTAGTTTTCCGACGGTTCTGTAGCCTGAGACAGCCCGCTATAAGGCCTGTAACTAGACTTCCTCAGTAAATTCATGAAAAATCCCCATTCGAACATTAATAGAATAGAATATTAATAAATATTATATATATAATATTATATTATTATAGAATATAATAATAATATTAATCCTCAATAAATGTCAAAATTCACCGACTTTATAATAAAAAGTGTGTTTCTCGAATAACTTCTTACATCACCGCAATCATCAAAATTGTGGATGACATGTGACAGAAGGAACTTACAAGATTTCATAGGGTTATAATGTTGTTAGGTCAAATTTGGTTAATTCGTAGGTTCAACTATGCTGAAATGCGGTAAGCAACCCAACTGAATACGACTGTTCTCTCTCAAATACCTCCTTCTTCAACCAGCCAAGAAAATATAAGAGAATGAAGACTGGCTAGTGAGGAGAATTTTTTTAGGAAAAAATTCATGTATAGGTACAATTCTAACGCATAATATCATGCTAAGCTGGTGACTGAATAAACTTATTTGACTAGTTAGTTGTATAATGTCGAAGACTTCCAATGAGATCAAAGACTGCTAGATAAAGTTATCACGTCTACGTAACAGCAAAAATCCAAACTGAGACATGAAATCGCCTTTCACAGCAGCGAATAGCATAAAATGTCGAATCTAGTTTTCTCCACTTCCCAAAAATGTTGGAAAATTTGCTTTTGACAACATTTTTCTTTTTTCCTTGTAAATTTTCCTAGTTCACTCTAGGAATGGTGTAAATCAGCGACCGAATGAACAAAAAGATTCAATTAAACAAACTGTACTCAATACAACTATCACTTTAAGTCCTCCTTTATCTGAAGTAATAGTCGACAGGAACAATTACGACAGTAACAATGACAATGAAGATAATCCTATCAATGGAAGATTCTTTACACAAGCAACTACACTACTAGTGGACTTACCATTTCAAATTGATCAACCGACTGAAATCCATCTGACGTTAACTTTGTATGATGCAAACGGTATGCTGTTGCATTATCGTTCACCGCCGACTGAACAAGAATTAATGCTTTTACAGAATGCACAAGATCATCTATTCACTATGGGAATATCAAATTGGAGAGTTGTTGTAAAGTGAGCGCTAGTGCCTTCGTTTTACTTCTTTTGCTTTTCAAAGACAGATTAATTAGCATAGGAAGAATTGATTACTGGGATCAGCATTTTCATGTACCAGGCTATGAGGCAGATTTGCCGTATGATTACTTGATAGTGATAACCAACTATCAAGTCTGAAGTTAGTGGAGCAGGATTCGAACCCAGGAAATGTTGGTTGAAGGGCCAAATCCTTAAGGGAGTAACACAGATCTTCTATAGCTGTCTTGATTTCCTTCCTATATGAGGAATAGCAGAGATAATGGAGAGCAGAATGACAAGGAAAGGAAAAGTATGATTTGTATCTTGTGGTCTGTTACTGTCACTATGTATTTTCGCTGAATAAAAAACAAAAGCGCCTTCAGTAATCACTCATTAAATTGCTTGCAGTTTGCTAACTCAACGCTACAATACCATGAAAAAAGTAGCACTGATTCTGAGTAGTGTCAGTCAGTTATTATATGTTTTGAGTGGTTCTCAGGGATTAAGCAACACGTGCCTATTGTATTCTGTTCTCCTCTGACACTTTTATTTGACTTCATCACTGACAACACTCTCTCACTTCCTCCCAACATGATCTCCATTACGTCACACTCGGACGCTCAATACGTTGCTTCCTATTTGATTTATTCTCAAGGGCTTGGAGCGTGATGTCACTCATTGGTATCTTCGGCGTATGTTCAATCCATTTTTAATTTTTTCCGTATATTTGTCAGTGGGTCAGCAGAGGTTTCTTTGCTGCCTGTCAGAATTCCTTGTTGTCCTTCCTCTCCAGCCAGTCGAACATCTAATCTTCAGTATCAAGTGGACTCAGCTTTTGATAAAACCTCACACACTGCTGGAAGTGTTTTGTGCTGGACTCACACTAAATCTCTGAGCTAAAAAGAAGCACTGATTTGATATTAGTTTTGAAAATTAGAATCTTTCTCCTTTTGCCGTGTGATGTAAGTCTCCGTATTGATTTCAAAGTGTTTCACCCCAAACCTAATCCTGGCTGAAATCATCTTCACTTGTGCCTTCACCTGTAGTTGAAATGACACTGTCTGTTGTTTGCTTGTTGTTAATTAGGTGTCTTCATCGTATCTGTTCTCTAAATGTCCGCTGAAGCACCGTCCTAGCTCCAACTTCTTGGCTTTCGTCCATTTTGTGTGACAAATTGTCTGCGAAGTCAAGACCTTCTGGTGTCATTTTACCGTCCAACGTCTGCCTATGTTTTCACTTCCTATGGTATGTTGCATGATCCAGTCAACCACAGGCAGGGATATCATCAGTAATAGCAGGCAGCTTTACCTAGCTGTGGTCTTCCCTTCAGAGGCTCCTCTGAGTTTTTCGTTGTGGATCTGTTGTTAGTTTCCGAATTACTTCTCGGCCTTTCCAAATCGATGAAGTTGAGCAGGGTTGACCGCTGCTCGATGCTCTGTTCTATGATAGTGTATAATGTTGTAATTTGATCGGCCTATGATTTGTTTATCCCGAATCCACACAGTATGATCTTTCATTCAAAACATCTTTCAACTCTGCCGGACCATGCGGCCTAATATTTTTCTTGGGGTAGACAGCAGTACGATTCGGTGCCACCTCTTGCATAGGTCTTTGGCAATTTGATGGTATGACTTTTCTTTCAGTCAGCAGGTGACTTTCCTTCCTTCCACAACTTCTGCAGTAGTGGTGAGATCATGTTCGTTGGGGGTCCATTTTCGTGTCCTCTTGTGGGACTCTATCTGGTCCCGCCGGTTTCGTGGATTTTAGTAACTCTATGGCTTTCAACATTTGTAAAATTATTGTGGTCTCTTCACAACTTTGATAACAGACTGTCGCTATTATCTAACTTATGGTCGGTTGCTGCCCCCTTTTATTCACTAGTGACACTGAGCACTTCGAATTTTAAATCGAACCTGTAATCATTAGCATATACACAGTAATTTGGTGTGTTTTTTATCAAAAGTTTTGTGTTTAACTTCCTTCACTATCATTGACATCTTTTTCCTCCACGACATGTATACGTGTATACATATTTATTTTTTTTCCCTCAGATATATCGATGGACGTGTTCCTAATCGTATATTGCTTGTCTACAGTCAACAAAATCTTACTCAACACGTTAGATATAACATTCAAACAGGCATTAATTCTGGTCGACCATGGATACAAATTGATGGATACCCCAAAACAACTAATCATGATGTCATCGAGAAATGGGCTAGTCCGCATTCAACCAGTAATAATAATGTACCTGCAGCTGGTGGCTTAAAAACTCTTATGATTGGTCGACAAATTAAACAAAATGGTTACGGGTAAATTTATTAACATTATCAAAGCAGAAATACATAGTATACGTTTATTCATTATGGCAATCGGATGTAATGAAAATGTCTCTTAATTTTTTTAAAGTGACTAACAGAATTTAGCGTATTGGCTAGAGTATTCGTATACGTTGGATTAATTGCTTCCAAACTTTGCTTAACTCGTCTTTATCCGATGGTTTGAAGCAATAAGGAAGAAGCTCTGGACCTAACTTTTGTGCTTCGTGAAACTATTTAGCAAGGTATATCTGAAAAGACTGGTGTCCCTTGAAATATTACAACTAGCGTAATGCCATGATGTAGTAAAACGGCGTTACCACTGAACTACTGGAACCCTCGATTTACCTCCTGTAGTTACATTGTAAATACACAAGTGTCTAACCAATATCATTTGTCTAAAACTCAGAGGCACCGATTGAATGTCTTGGAAACATACTAAATGCGAACCACAATCACTACATGTAATTCTGATTATTGTTGAATCAACATATTAAACTTAGTACGTACTCGATAAAGCACGCACACATACCAACCAAGATTTTACCCTATTACACTGTTTAGGAGAACATGGAAACGGCGCTTGCTGCTAAGAAAGAAAACATAGGTCACGGCAGTATTTGATCCATTAGCTTATGGGATACCGACTGAATGAGCCAGGAAAATTCATTCAGTCGTGATTACACATAAGTTTCTTATCAGAAGTCGAGATTTGTGTCGACAGATAACATAAAGAAGCAGTGCGTGTGTATCTATCAATCAGTGATTCGCATTTTCAGGGTTTCAGTTAGAACTGAAATCATCACTCACTCTTCATTGACTATACTTAATTCATCTTTTGGTCTAGAGTTTAGATTCCTAGACGTCTAACATTCCGATTGTGAAGTGTAGCCAAAATTCCAACTTAAAAATTCTCATTTGAATAATGGCTGAAAACACAGTTGACTTTTAATGAATACGCAGCGACCAGAACCAACGTGTTGTGGTCTGAATACAGGTGATCAATCTTTGAGTTCTAACCAGCATAGCTAACCAAAACTTCCTTGAGTTACTCACAACGATAGTAAGAAGACATTGATTTTCAATAAAATCTGCGGTGTTATTGAACAAAAATAAAATTTTGAATAGTCAGAAATACCTTTCAATCTAAGTACTGTTTAACTAATTATTTAACCAAATCAACCGTAAAAAGTACGTGAGATTCAAGAGGAGTATTTCCAACAGGGTGCAATCAAAACTCTGTCAGCGAGAATCACTCAACAAACAATTCCCGCTGACATTCCAAATTCTCCATTTCCTTCTGTATGTATGTTAACCAATAGGTACTTGGCTGGTTCATTTCCAGGGTTTTCTTTCTGCTAATTCTTTCATGCTGGGCCATCTGATCTGTTGATGAAAGTTTGCTACTGGCTATTGGAAACACTTTTTCTATCGTGCCAGGTTTCTAACCCATTTGGAAGAAGTGACTGACTTGACATTGGTGTTGCAAATCAGAATTTCATTCAAGTATTGGATTTTTAGGGATTTAGTTCGATTCGTTGGAGGATTTCATCATGAGCTGACATCAGTTAGAGAACCATTGGAAAACCTGGGAGTACTGGATGGCTGTTTCGTCCTAGTTTTGGACTGTTCATCAGCACTCATCCACCGCCAGGGTTCGTACCCAGGGCCTTCTGGTTATCAGGCGAGCTCGTAGACCATTAAGCCACTGAAACCAGATCCAATGGACCATGAATTCTAACTCCTCTCAATTCACGATATAGCGCAACCACTAGCCAAGGTCTTCGGCGGGTATTTGTCCTCACACCCGACCTGTTGCACCCTACTGGTCACGACTTCGCACTGGAACCCCAGGTAACTAGCTATCTGAATAGGGCAAGTCGCCAGTGAGCATCTCATTGATTTCATTCTTTGTACTGAGTTTGGCTGACATCCAAACTAATTTCGGCGTGATTACATACATGTGTAAGTCATACTTCTCGGAAGCCAGTAGTTACAGTGACGCAAATTTCCAAATAATAAAAGAACAAGTTAAACATCTAATTTACTTATCGGCATCACTGGCCAAGTAATGGAATCGCCTTCATAACTCCCTTTCACACCACTTTCCATCGGTCTTGCACTGAACACTTCAACAACAATAGCTTTTCATTATCCCGACAGACTGAATACTAATGGTTCATATATTATCAGGGTAACTCTCTTCAGTACTTCAGATATACCTTCCTGATCAATAATTTGCAATCAACTGATGTAATGCTAATTTGTATACTTTCCAGAATTTTATTCGAACTTGAATGAATAATTCATACATACTGTGACTGTATCGATACATATAAATACTGCGTTTAGTCATAAGTTTTATTAACTGATTTGTTTGTTTTTTCTCATAATCAACACTACTTGTTAGTAGTATCGTGAGTGTAGGCAGTTGAACAAATCTACCACAAAGAATTATAACATGTATCATTTAACAAGTTTTTTATCGAATAAACAATCATGATTATTTGTCAATTTTCAAAATTTAAACATTCAGATTTATCTATGTGATTACATAAATTTTATAGTATTATGGTCGAATAGCGGATTAAATGTGTTTTTTCGATGTGTTACAGCAAGCATAATTGCATGAAAATATGTTCTATTGATTGATTGATTGATTGAAATTTCGCCTCGAACTGTAGAAAATCGTAAATTAATCTGCAAAAGCAGAGTTTGATTTATGGTGTAATCAGTTCGACAAAGAAGGTAGCCAGCTGGAAATCGAGTGGTTTCAGCTGATTCGGCTGAGTGCTGAGACAAATCGGGTGCTCCATGAGAGGTCTCTTCAGTCTGGTTAGTAAGTACTGCTGGTTGTTGCGAGTGGTATACAGCGGCTGATATCTCAACCAATCAGTCGTATGTAATTTTATGCATTTAAGCAATGTTTGTTGTAACTCTAAGAAATTTTTATCTAATGAGTACACAGGCACACGATTTGTAGGAAATAGACTCTTACAGGGTTCCAACATCCCTAAGCACAGGTGGAAAACAATAACTTACGTAGTCATCCTGTAACAACAGAAGACAAGGGCCAGGCAACAGAACGTTTATTACGGAAAATCAACACATATTTATAGATTTGATGTACATTATTGTAGGTTAATGGTACTTTGAGTTGTTTCTCACACAAAGTTAACTTCTTTATCCTACTTAAGTTGGAGGTCATTTACTTATTAGTGATATTCAATGGTACTTTTATTATATTCCATGTTGATAGAAGCTGACCGTTATGCATCATTAGATATCAACTTGTTTTTGTCGAAATTCAATTCGATTCACTGTGATGTAACCAGTAATATCTGTCTAGTTCGAAGTGGTGCTGAGTGAGTCTCATCAGACAAAGGTGTAGATACGTTTCTCCAGGTGTAGGGTCGACTATCTTCAAGCGTCAGATAACAGAATCTGTATGGCTTCGCATCTCCGAAGACATCTACGATAGAACAAAGTACCTTGTTACTGTTTGCTGGTTTTCACAACCAACTAACTTGATACCATTCGATTATCAAAGCAGCCTAGAAGATGATCAATTCTTACAAACATTTTCTTACAAAAACAGTCTGTTTGTGTTGTGGAGGCAATAGATTATCTGCAGTGATAGAAAAATCCTTCTCTACCCACCTGTTTCACACTTGAATGACACATCAAGTGTGGTTTTGTGTTAAAGCTGTCTGTATAATCTGAAAAAAAATGATCACTTTTCATAAATCAGTTGAAATGAATGCGGATATCAATTATCTTTTTGAGTTTTAATAGCCTAGCGACTGACTACTTAATTTAGCTTACAAGTAGGTAGAAATAATTGGAAAACAAATATAAACTGAACTTAGCTTCACAGTATGTGTTAGTACTCCAAGTGGGCATATGATTTTTCAGTGTTCTAGATTATTAAAGTTATTGAGGTTGATGATTTGGTTAGGGTTACTACTACACTGAAAATCGTTGTCGCAAATATGCTTCATATCACAATTACTGTGGTGAAATAGACTTTCATCACTCCTTTCCTAATCATATTTGTATTTCTTTTAAAGTTTGAAGACGGATTGATATTGGTTGGAGAACCATTGAAAACCACAAAGGACAGCCATTTCGTCCTAGTTTGCTACTGATCGTCAGTAAACACCCACCAGAGTTCAAACCCAGGACTATACGGTTACAAGGCAAGCCCGTAGACCATTCAGCCACTGGGACCCAACTCAATCAGGGACCAGCCCACGAATTCTAACTTCTGCCGATTCGTGATTTTAGCACAACTGGCACCAGCCAATGTCGTCGGTGGGTATTTGCCCGCACTCCCGACCTGAAAGTCCTGGATTCGAACTCCTGTGGTGGGTATGCAGTGCTGATGAGTCCCGAACTGGGACGAAATAGCTATCCAGTACTCCGCTGTTATTTTCGATGGTTCTCTAACTGATATCAATACATGACAAAACCTAAAATAAATCAAATCCCCACAAACAAACTCTTGAACACTAGTATTTTGTTTGAGATTCATATTCACCTCATACCTCAAAACATCTAATTCTCCTGTTCATCGTTTACAGTGTGAACTGATTAAAGGTATGTCATTTTGTTCTCAGATAGTTTAATTAGTCGCAAGTCATTGGCTTCCTCACTTCATTTGGGATTTGCATTGTGAGGCTAAAAAACAAAAGCCTCTAGACATCATGTATTCACAGGATAACGCAGGATAATAATAACAATTTTATTCCAAATAGTACGTTTGACCGAAAGAGGGGATTTTCGGCATGTAGTACAGTATTGCAACGAATTTTCTCATTACATGGGTAATAATTAAACAGAGCATTTACACTGATAATATTATTCAATGAGAATTTGAATATAGAATTAGAATTTAAGTGAAAACATTACCAACAACATAATAATGAAAGAAGGAATAAAAAGGGCAATTTACTCAGTGTTTTTCAGAAAGTTATTAGTATCCCAGCTACACTTTTCTCATCACATAAAATATGTCCCGGCCAAATAAAGTATTGTGGAGTTTTTATACTTAGTCGTCCGAGGATAAAGTCTTCTATAGTTGCTTCTCGTTCTACTTGATGCGACAGGTACAGGGAGAGATAGGATCCTCAGAGTCTGACAGGACAATATTCACTAATTTCTTGCATGCGTCCATGTGCCTTTCTACGATGATATTACCGAGTTGGTTTAGAAACACTCCACTCACCCTACTGACTGATTTTAGTGCCCTTCTCAGTGTGACACAGTATTTCTTAAGTACCCTAGAAAGATTAAGGTCGGGGGGAACAATAAAGAAGAATAGGTTGAATACAAGAATTAACAAACTGTAAAAGTAGAAACTGAGCGATACCAAATAGTCTTAACTTTCTTAGGTAGAACATTAAACCAAATACCATTCTGGAAACTAAAATAATGTGAGAAGAACAGGAAAGATCAGAGGAGATACAAAATTTAAGGTAAGATATCTATTATAACAGAATCATGGGAACGAACCATTTCATGTAAGTCGCGCTTGCGTCTGAAAGTGACATTAACAATCTGACATTTTGAGGGACTTAGCTTACGACCATTCAGCAAGCCCCGCTGACTTATTAACTGATTAATTTAACATCCCTTTGTTCATTTGGTAATATGAAATCTGTACTCTTTATTTTACTTTAAACTCGTTTCTAAATGCTACTTAAGGTGTAAAGTTTGATGAAAATAATAATAATGATTATGTAACACTGTGTAACTATTTTGCGTTTATCATCACATGCAACTGCCTCGATTTTTGATATACAAATTTCTTTTTATTATACAACAGTATTGCTGATACTAATGAACTCATCGAAACGCATGAAGATTATGGTTTCTCTGGCTGTTTAAGTAAACTGACACTTAATACGGGAGGATCATTCAAAAAATATTTTAATTTAAATCTTATAAATGGTGCTCAAAATAATTTGGCATGGTATGGAACAACAACAAATCATAAAACAGCACCATTATGCTCACAATCAATTCACAAAGTAACATTGAATACAGCTGATAATAGTAATAATAATAATAATAACAATAATCACATGGACAATACTCAACGTTTATTACAATCTGATCAAATACAAAGGCAAGAACATATAATTCCTCCAAAACATCAACAAATATCTAATACACATCAATCTAAAAATTGCAAAAATTATGGAACTGTTGTACTTGCTGCAGATGGAAAATATGTTTGTGTTTGTCAACCTGGATGGCAAGGTGATTTATGCGAACAGAGTAAGTTAATGCTTCTCTAAAGGTGTACAAGTAACCTCCATATAATATGCTTAGCGAAGGCTAAAAACAGTTGAGAAATAATCCAATTATTTTTAAATAGTGCGTCGGGGCATAGCGGTTAGGATGCTCGCCGACCATGCACATGGTCCGGGGTTCGATCCCCGGCTGACGCACTCCTTTACCTCGCTAAGCCAGAAGTAATGCTGGTAAAGAGGAAAGGTTGGGCGTGAGGCTAGCAACCCATCCTGTAAATTTTAAATAATGTTTCACACTAAAAAGTGTTATTTATTCGTGACTGAAGTACGTCTGCACATTCTTTGTAGCTCGTTCACATCTAAGAATCTATCTTTCATAATACTCATTAAACTTCAGTGCAGCTAACTTATTACCACAATTCGAGGAAATCGCCAAAAAAGGCATATAGTATCGTGTGTAGCACAATATGGAAATATGATTTCATTATTTTTTTTTTAAATATTTAGATCTTCATTGAAGATTCCCATAAACAATTTGAAAGACTGATTCATGAACAAAGAATATTCATTTCGATAACTCCTTCGTCATCAGGTTCTATATTTATGTGACAGTAATAATTAAAGAAATTTTATTATTGGTTGGAGGATTTCATCATGAGCTGACATCAGTTAGAGAACCAGTGGAAAACCCTTGCAGTAATGGACAGCTGTTTCGTCCTAGTTTGGGATTCTTCAGCAGTACGCACTCAGAGTTCGAACCCAGGACCTTCTGGTTACAAGGCTAACCAGCTCGTAGACCACTGAGCCACTGGGACCCGATCCAATGGTCAGTCCATGAATTCTAACTTCTGCCAATTCATGACATAGCGCGACCACTTCGCAATGTCTTCTTCGATGAGTTACTGCCTCACCTTCAACCTGTTGCACCCTACTGGTCACGGCTTCCCACTAGAACCCCAGGTCACTGCCTGAATAAGGCCAGTCACTTGTTAGCATCAGATTAATTTTCAAGTAATGGTCGTGAATTGGCAGAAGTTAGAATTCAAGACATGAATCGGTCCAGTAGCTCAATGGTCGACGAGCTCGCCTTGTAACCAGAAGGTCCTGGGTTCTAACTCTGGCGGTGGGTGAGTACTGAAGAATAGATCCAAACTAGGACGAAACAGCTGTCCAGTACTCCCAGGTTTTCCAGTGGTTTTCTAACTGATGTCAGCTCATGATGAAATCCTCCAACCAATAAAACTAAATCCCTACAAAACCAATACTTAAAAATATTATTATTAACAGCATTAATGTTGTTTTAAATTATGCTGAATCAGTAGTTTCGATAGGTGATTACAATTCAAAAGCATCAGTGAGAGAGAGACTAATATGCATAAATATAACCCTAAACCCAATATGGCTGGATCTGTTTCTTTCACATGTGAAGCTCCGGTTGTTCTAAACGAATTCCAATGATCTTCGATGTTAGGAGTGTTCGGTATCTAGAGGCCTTTGGTAATTTATTTGATACCCGGTGGATGATATAGAAAGACCGTTCAATTCTGGCTTTGTGGCTTGTTTGTACAAGGTGGTCCAATGCAGAACTGTTAACGGTTTTAACAATACCTTTATTTAACCATACTGGTAGACGTTCCAGAGTGCCAAAACAAGGTGCCTAGAGCAACGGCCAATATAACTGGATCCACAGGAACAGTTGAATTGATAGACACAATTAGAAATGGCTAGCCTAGTTACTTTACCTTTCCTCTTTGGAATCACAAACGGTTGTGTGGAAAATATGGGCTGCAGCTCGTCAGCACCTTCAAGAGTGGTTAAAGAACCACGTTCGCAAAACCGCTAACAGTTCTATGTTAGATCACTTCGCACAAACGGGCCACATAGCTAATAATGGATAGTCTTTTTCTATCATCTGTAAGTTACCGAATAAATTAGTAAAGGTATCTAGATACTGAACACTCTAAACATCAGAGACCATTGCAATTCGTTTAAATCAACCGGAGCCTTGTGTACAAAAGAAGCAGATCCACCCACTATTGCTATCCTGACCTGCCATTGAGCCTGTAAATTCATAAATTCTGTGTTACTTCCCTTAATTTATGTGATATTCAGTCAGTTTAGTGTCGTTATATTACTGCATATTATCACACTTACTGATGTTTTGAAACTGTGATCTGTCGATTCAATGTAATTTAAAATGACATTGATGTTGTTATTAAGAATATTTCTTTAGTTATTACTGTCATAAATGTAGAACGCGATGATGAGGAAGTTATTGAAGGGAATATTCTTTGTTCATTAGACTGTCTTTTATGTTTAAATCTGTCAATCAATACACTGAAATTTAATCATAAGATTAGTCAAGAATCAATTTCCTAGTCATAATTCACCAGTTTCGAAGTACGTTGACTCTAGTGTGTACTACATTGAATCAGATGCCTGTCTACCCCCATTTGTTGATTCAAGCTATTCTGCTCACTATTAAAAAATATTACTTTTCAAATGGAACTCAAAGCTGATAAAATTACTAAGGTACTTAAAAGTGGTCCAAGTGATTCTAATGCTGCTTATCTCCACCGCTTCTTTCTATTCATTTCATGCTTTCAAATAATTGATCACACTGTATAGTAATTTGGAAAACCTGGTGGCTTAATCAGAAGATCCAAAAATGGGACGAAACAGCTGTATAGTGCTGTCTGGTCTTCAGTAGCTCCTTAACTGATGTAGGCTCGAGATGGAATCTATCTTAGCATCAGATGAATCCGTAAACCTCAAAATACTTGTGAATTGTTCTGATGGGTACTCACCACAGTACAACTATGTGTGTCGGTGGTTCAGTGGTGTAATGCTGGCTAACCATGCAAGTGATCGGGGTTCCACTGTCTACTGATGGAGTCCTTAACCTCTCTCAGCCCATGATAAATCCACAAAATAGAAGGTTTGGAGTGGGGCTAGCAGTTGCCACGCCCTTGCCCTCGTCTTCACTAAAAAGAAGTAACACCATTGCTACTGGCACTTCAAAGCTTCAGGCTTTCTGCTTCATTTGGTATGCAAAGGAATAAAACAGAACAAGAACAAAAGTAAAGCTAACGCGTTATCTCTTTATTTTCTTTAAAATCCACTTTCAACCTTGTGGTGAGCTGAAGTATTTTCCCACTACTCTCTAACGTTATAATCATAATCTTTGATGCCAACCTCAAGAATACATCTCAGATAACTTCCTCATCATGTACTAAAGACAAATAATCTCCACTGCATATTTCATTTTCACTTTATTTTTTACAGTGGTGACTATTATACCTCAGTTCTCAGGGAATGGATTCATTCGTCTAGCCGGCCCAACAGGGAAACAAGCAATGAAACGGAAAAAGTTACACATTGAGCTAATTTTCTTGGCAGTCAAATCTTCAGGTAAGCGATTATTTCTGGATACATGAAACGGTTTGGAAATTTTTCGGTCAAGCGGACGATGGAATTTAAAGTTCTGATACTTGTTACACAGCAAGTGTCGGCTAATAGTTTAGTCATTAGAAACGACAGCAACTGAGTTAATATACCAGTTAGAAAGTCATCTCAGTTAGAAGCAGACAGATTCATCTGTCAAAGATCTTGGTGTAAAATAGCACTACGGGTACATGAATAAACAAGTGCCTGGTCGACATCTAGTCCATTAACTTGGTGGAGATCTTGTTGGAAACATCAATAAAATCTTGAACAGACAGTTGATAGATTCCACTCTGATGTTTCAGAAAATATTTATCAGATGCCTCTTATTATTTCTTCTACAGATATTCTGAAATAGTTTGGTATTAAGATAGGGCAGTCTATACTGTAAAAAAAACTTTACAAAAGCAGGTGAAGTGACAAATACATTTAAATTGGCTTTTAACCACACAGTCACTCAGAGTAAATAATAAGAATATTGGATGATAAAGGCTGGCGGTTGCGCTACATATCGAATCGGCAGAAGTTGGAATTCATGCACAGTTAGATATAGTCCAAGTCACTAAATGGTTTACAAGCCTGGATTGTAACCGGAAGGTCCTGGGTACTTGCGCAATGCCAAGGAGTTTCAATCTGGGACGAAACAGTCATCTATTACCCCCTGGTTTTCCACTGGTTCCCTAAATGATGTCAGCCGGTGAAAAAACCTGTAACCAGTCAAATCCCTGCAGACCAATACTTGAAAAAACAATCACTTTAAGTATTATGAAAGAGACGATTGAGTCTTCTGGATAAGTTCATCTGACTTACTAGAGTGAAAATGAGATTTAATTTCATAGCATCATTCAGCGGTTACAAAAAATGCTTCAAACAGTTATCAAAATGATTCCATCTTGTTCATGTAAACACTTTAAATATTATTAAAGTTGACGGTGTCCGTAATTATTACGTCAACCTTAATAAAATTATGATGCAAATGTTGTAGACATTTCACAGTCGCAGAATAATTCACAAGAATCGACACCACCACAAAATTATTATCAGTGTAATACTAACAGACACGAACAGGCAGCCTAGCCCAATCGATGCCAAATTTTCTAATGAATGGTTTTGACGCCTACGGATTAGAAGTACTGAAGAGTTTCGACATAAAACGAAAAACTTGCTCAGTCCTTTTGGTTTTCTTTAGTCCACTAGGTAGTATCAGTCGGTAACAAATAAAATCAATCTTATTAAATGGTTGGTGGTGATCGATAGGAAGCTATGAACCTAGGCTTCATGCTTGTTGGTACTCACCAATCAGCAAAACGTATCTGTAGTCTTGAAGGAACTCATGTCCCTTCCGAAATTCGAACTCTTGTCACCCAGTGCTACCATTAGAGAAGTTACCACTGAGATATTCTGGCTCACGACTGACCGATCGAATGTAGTAGACTGAATAGAAGGATTGATAATGGAGCTTTTTATATCAAATCATACTAGAATACTAGCAGTGTGAATGACTCCACGTCTGTCCTGAAAATCAGACAAATTCTACCTTAGCCAGTACAAAGTGAGTAAAATAATTACACTGTGAAAACTAAATTTCAAAGTTGTGTAGTTCCATTTGAAATGTTGAAAATGCCAGTGTGTGATACGCTTAATAAACCGACCAGTGTGAGCTTACATACTCGCACAGTGCCTGAGTTCTTCACATACATATCTATGCTTTCCTTCATTTCGCCTCTGTTTTCTTTCCTAACCACTCTTTTTCTAGGCTTATTGTTTGCCATCCCGCCGAGATCCCCATATCAAGGTCCATTTATAACGGCTCATTTAGATTCACAAAGCTACTTAACTGTAACATGTCGAATTGGTACGGGAGAAATGTCAGGGAATGAAAATATTATTCAGCTGAAGTACAGTGAGCCAGTAAAACTGCATCACTGGCATACACTAATCATTGATAAATTGCCTAAAATTCTCCGTGTTAAAATGGATAACAGTAAGAAGCAACGGGTACCACTGGTAGGTTACTTTGTTTTCATATAAAAAGTTAAAATTTTTATGACGACGTACAGCACCGCTAAGATCAACTGTGTACCAGATCGATGTTTCATCAAAATGTTTAAGATTATTCAGTGGGGCATATCCGTGTTCACAGTCACTTTGCTGCAATGCAGTTGTAAATACTTTCTAACCACATATTTTAAGTACTACTGGTTGTTATGAGTAGTAAGTGATACTCACGCCAATAAGTAGGGCTTGCCAGCCGGATCTAGACGCAGGAAAACAGTGAAGTTGGTTTACGGCTGAGCTGATCACCAATGTGTCCTAATAAATTCCAGTCAAAGAGCTAAATAATATATCAAATCAGTCGGAGTCTGACTGACTGAAATAATCACTAATCAAATTACCTCAGTTCGAAACAAATAAAGTGACTGTTATGTGTTCGGCTTACTTTGACGTGGACATCTGGCACAACTCGCTGACATGTTGACATGTTTTGCTACTCCAATTGGTCATTAGTAAATGTGTATATGTTTCGATTGTCATTTATTGTCCCATTGGTTGGAGGATTTCATCATGAGCTGACATCAGTTAGAGAACCACTGGAAAACCAACTGGGAGTACTGAACAGCTGTTTCGTCGTAGTTTGTACCAACCAGACTACATATTAGAATCTGAACATTGTTCGGCTTCAAAGACAACTGTGAAGGACGACAGAAGCTTCAGTTTGTTATTATTTATTATAATTTCATTGGGTATCGAGTGAAACGAAGGGCTTCAAAAACACGCCTTCTTTTTTTGCCCTATTCTCTGTAGTTCTCTTCAGCTGGCCGCACAATTGCCCGTAAGCCCTGATTTCCTCTTTATAGGACCTCCTTCATATCACACTCGGATCAGTGCCTGACTTGTCGTTTTCCATTCTATATCCACTCGAGCTATGACCTGGATCGTGTTGTCACCCGACGACCTCCACAGTTTGTGTTCGATCTATTTCCATTTTCTGCTACATATTTGCTGATCAGTAGGTTCTTGAATGGTTTGCCTTCATAGTTTCTTGCTGCTGATTCTTCTGGCCAGCTGTTTAATCTTCGACATGGAGCTAGCGAAGGCAGCTATTGATAAAAGTCCTCAGTAGTCCGCTGGAAATTCTTTTCGTGAAGGAAGGACTGACTGATTAAACATTAGTGTTGGAAATCCAAATTTTGTTCTTTGTGTTGAGTTCAGAATATCTCCAAACTGTTTTCAGAGTGATGAAGGTTTCTCTTGATTTTCTGATTCTGGCTTTCACATCTTCATCCGTTCCTGCCTGTGGTTGAAACGATGCTTCCTAGATAAGTGAAGGAAGTAACCTCTAAAATTTCTCCTGCTGACTGTGGTTGTTGGCTGGTTGACCATCTTCATCACCTCCATCTTCTCTATGTTCACTTGAAGTCCTGTCTTTGCTGTCTGCGTCTTCTGAGGGTTTATTGGTTTTCATCTATAAGTCTTAGTGTTTGTGTGACTCAAGGCATAAGTCATCCGCGAAATACAGATCTTCTAGAGTCTTCTCATTGGGCCAGCGCATTCTTATCTTATCTCTCCATACTCACAGTCTGACGCATAATCCAGTCCATCACAATTAAGAATATCATTGGTGATAATAGGCAGCTAGCTTGTCTTACTCCTGTATGCACTTCGAACGCCTCGCTGAGTTTTCCATTGTGGATCACCTGTCACGTGGCATTGTCATATAGCTAGCTGTTGAATGAGGTTGATAAAGACTTGTGGAACTGCACCCCTTGGTGTTGAAGTAGTTTCCAAATTACTTCTTGGTCAACGTCGTCGAAGGCCTTTTCAAAGTCGACGAAGTTGACTATCATTCTATGCTCTGTTCGATAATGATGCGTAGAGTTGCAATTTGATCAGTACAAGATTTTTAACATGATAATCTCCAAATTCACTCGTCAGTTATTCAAACATCCGATATGCACAGCTTCTAATTTCTAGGAATATGACACTTAGTGAAACAGACTCATATGTCATGAATAGCAGAAAAAATGATAACAAGGCAGACTGTTTCCTGACAGTGCTGACGTTGAAAAGTTTCTGCAAAACATCTTCAGACTCTGACAGTCAAAATCCTACCGATGAAAAAAGTACATGCCTTTGAAGTGGTAAAATTGCAGCACTATTTTACGTTTATTCTGTTTAATTTCTTTCCTTTTCACAACTTGCTGAATGTGAAACACATAACTTCCAACTTTTCCTTGTTCACTTTCGGCTTGATTGCTCTTTGAGTGTGATTTTTGGGAACAAAATTTCGCAATCGGTTGAAATTTCTTTTTCAGTGGTATTTCATAAAAGTTGTCTAAATTCCCTTCATTTCATAATTTTTAAACACCAACAGGATTATACACTATGAGATATTGATTAGTGATCCTTTTATTATTGATTATTTGATCTTAATTTCATTGAAGGGCACACTGTAGTCATCTGTCTTCCGCTGTTGCTTTATAAGGGTTCGATAGATTCCCCAGTAGACTTCATCCTAAACCGATGATATTCAGAGTACAACTGATAACTGGAGTCCACTGAACAGATGTATTCTCCTGATTTTGGGATCTCCACTAATGCGCACACATGATCCCATTAGGAATCAAACGCAGGAGCTCCAAGTTAATAAACAACTCGCTGGTTTAGAATCCACTGACTTGTGAATTATAACTCCTATCAGTTCATAATGTATGACGTCACTGTCATCCGGTGACTGCCATCAGTGAATATCTGTCCTCATACACAATATTGGTGGACGGCACCGACCATGACTTCTCATCCCAACCCCTGGAAGTCCACTGCGTAATCGGTTAAGACCTAGCAGCTGGTTAATTTTCATGCTGTCCAGTACTTCCAGTGGTTGCTTTTGTTTATCTTCTGCGCTGGTTAAAATTGCATACAAGTGACTTTTGTACTTATCAAGAAGTCGGAAATATTGTGTAGCATATTTTGCCAACTGAGAATTGAAGTAACCTGGCGGAGTTAATTTCAGTATTTCTTTTATCCTCAGAAAAATTCTATTTAGCCACTAATCAGATACCAGTTTAACAAACAGGATCACTAGATCAAGAAAGGTCACCTATGAAGTTCCTTTAATTTAGGTTGTGGTTAAGAGAATCATAGCAGTTGGATTCGGGCTTATTAGTTAAGCGATTACGTATTCGGCTTCTCCCATGAGTTATCTAAAGTCGAGTTTGCACACAGCCTTCATTCTGCTATGATGAAACGTGCTATTATTATTCCCTTTGGTTTTGAGTGCAACATGGGGCTTCAACAGAACATCCCCATTCCATCCTGTTCTCTGAAGTTCTCTTTAGCTGGTTCCACGACTGCCCATACGCTTTCGTCTTCTTCTCATAAACATCCTATGACAGACCACAATCGCTATGCAGCTCCTGTTAGTTGATATTGATTTCTGAAGAATTTCACCCCGCTTAATATCAGAATGAAACAAGATGCTAAAGGATATATAATAATATGTTGCTTAAGAAGTCATAAAGAGGCTAACGATGCTGAACTCAGCAAGGTGACAATTGTCGTGTAATACGAAGACCGTTGATATCTGTTTATTCTGAAGTGATTTTTGCGACACTGACTGCATACTAATTAGTAATTGATTTCATGCATCTAGTTCTTTCTTTTGGTGAAAACGGAATTATATCAGTCAAGTCTGTAATGTGGCCATCTTAGGGGGGGACTAGTCATCACAGTTCACTCAGCTATAAAACTATTTATAAGCAAACATTGCTCAACAATGCATTTTCTCTGATTCAGCATTTTTCGACATTTTAAAACTAGAATTTTATCTGGGACGTGATCAGAGACGTCATGTTTTGCAAAAGCACGCTGTCTAGGGATTCAGTTTGACGCACATCAGGTTCATGCATCTAGCATGTAATAAAAGCAAAAGCGAAGGGAAGAAAAACAATACGAAAGGGAATACACCATGTAAATAAAGGAATATGATACTACAATAAAGTTGGAAACTAAGTGTGATTGCCTCTATACCGTCAAGATAGACTACTTCCACGACGTACCGCTCCGATTGTCACTTAGTACTCGACCATACAAACTACGCTTTCCCATAAATATTTTCTTCAGCAGTCATTATCGAGTGACAATCGACATTTCGAACTATTTTCAGTTTAGAATTTCACCAATTAATCAATGTTTATTCAGATGACATCAATAGAGGCCTAACATTTCGGTCCAATGAATCAACAGGATGATCAAGACTGAGTTTCTTTTAAATAAAAACTGATGTCCATTGTACGAGAGGAGACTCTCGTGGCATAAGTTGTCTAGCGGATAACGCTTCGGCGTTTGAAACATGGGATACTGGTTTGAGTTACAGTTGGAACACCATTACTCACTTGGGAATGCAGGTACATCCGGACGACGAGCCCCAAGTAGGACGAAACGAGGGTCCTGGATTCCATTGCTAGTCACCATCTACCAAATTACTTCTAATGACACCATGTTACATTTCATTATTCTTGATACTTTATATGACATTCAGCGTCTAAAGACAATAGAGTTTTCTATATGATGTAAATGAAACTTACCTCAAAACAAAAAACTGAATATATTTTTTCTATATCACTTTGATATTTCAGATTCCTTCACAGTTTCTGCATGCACAAAATCGTCTCCCGAAAGAGGTAAGTCATCAATAACAAAAACAGATTCGTATAATTTTACTGCAAAATGAAGGTGGTTGAATGAGAATGCCTACCTTATCTGTTACAAAATTTAAATCAACTGTGTCTCTTCAACTAATTTTAAAGTTGTTCTGTTAACGCTGATTAGTAAGCAGAGGGCTACTAGTTCGAAATCTATAAGAATTAAGGTATGTTTAGAGTTTCGGTCATTACTTCTTTAAATAAAGATCTTGCCTTTAAGAGCACAATATTCAATGCGGAGACTCTTTCCAACCAGTTTATTATCAAGCTATACAATCATATATATATATATATATATATGATTTTTACAAAACTGTATTCCTTGAAGAAGTTTACACAGCAGGTGTGAATTCTCAGTATTACTATTATTCCATTGGGCTCTGAGTGGAACATACGGCTTCAACAACACATCTCCACTTTGTTCTATCCTCTACTGTCCTCTTCAGCTAGTTGGCTCCACGATTCACCATAATCTCTCATCTCCTTCTCGCCACATGACGTCCTCCATTTCACCCTCACACCCACCACGCACTCGTCGCTTCCCGTTCTGATTCCGCTCGAGCGATGACCTGCTTTGCTCACGATGTCATCCGACGGTTTCCTCAATATGTATGCGTGATCCATCTCCATCTTCTCCTACATATCTGCTGAGCAATCGGCTCATGGGTGGTTTGTTGCAAGGCAGAGTTTCTTGTCACTAATTCTTTCTGCTCGGTTGGCCATTTGATCTTTAAGATCGAGACAGCGAAGTCAGTAGTTGGAAAAAGTCTGTAACTTGTTGGAAATCCTGTCACAACACGCAGTGCAAGTTTCTGACCCGTATAGAAGAACTGACTGACTTCACATTTGTGTTGAAAGTCCGAATCTTGTCCATTATGCAGCTGAGTGAAGCAGAAGGTTTCCAAACTGGTTTCACAGTGATGAAGGCGTATCTCGCCTCTCCGATTCTGGTGAATTCTTGTACTGCTAATAATAATACTAATGATAAAAATAATGTTGACTATGAGAAAATATTTTTGGTCACATTTGTAATTGAACGCCAAGCGATCATGTTAGTAATGGAATAAATAAAACGGTTTGCCGAATGTAAAAAGCTGAGTAAAACTATATAAGATTAGTATAAAAGTGAAACATTGCGTAACAAGCCCAGAGGTCTGATAAGACAGAGTTGAACACTGTAAATAATATGCTAAATTAAATTTACAAATCTCGACAATAAGAAATATTACTGAAAGCGTTTGGAAGGTTCCCATTATAAATTCAAAAGCTTTCTAAACATTTTTCTTGACTCTTCATAGTGTTTTGCTGGACTTCATGAAGGTTAAATGTTTGCCTCACCAGACATTTATTCCGTGGATACCGTCCAGTAGTCCACGTGCTTGTAAAGAAAAGACTTGTGAAAATTGATTCATACAGTAAAGCAAGACACTCTCAAACAGGTAGGAGGGTCTTTTTATTATGAGCAAAATCTATTAGTTGTTGTCTGAACTCATGGAGTTGATCTCAGAGTCCTACTGTATAGCTTTCCTATGCATAGTCAAAAAACGCTCTAAAGACATCAAAATGACCATTGTTTGTCGTTGGAATCTATGTCTGGTTCTAATCAACAACAATAATAACATCAAAAACTCAGAATCACCTAAACAGTCAGGTTAGGAAGCTATACAGTCTAGATAAGTTTCCAAGTACAAACCAAGTACTATAGAACAAAATTAGTTAACCAAAATTCAACTGCATGAATCATCTTAGAATCAAGTAGAATATTCCCAACAAGGTGGGATCAGAAACTCTGTCCACAAGAATCACATATCAACAATTCCCCCAGACACAGTCCAAGATCAGAGCGACGTTGATTCACTCACATAGTGAAACGAGACATTATTAATGAATCGTACAACCACAGAGAGGAAAATTCAAATTGGAGATTAAACGGGGACAAAGACAAATAATGAGGATTTAGTCAGAATATGGTATGCAAATATCAAAATAATGATATATAGGCTAGGCTAGAAACGGATAATAATTACGAAGTTAGTTGAGACATAAAAATGAGTGTAAACATTGTAATTAGGCAGTTTGGGAAGGATTTTCCAAACAATTACTTCGTTACAGTTTTTACACTTTTCATTCATTTGGAAGAAGAAACTTCAAAATACTGGTGGAATATTCCAAAAATAGAATGTCAGTTATTATTATAGGGAATTACGCAGAAGAAAATGGATGAAATCAACACTTACATTGGGAATAATTATCTGAAAAAAGCAACCTCCGTTACCTACTGACCCGAGAAGCATAGTTTCAACTACAGGCGGACGGCACTGACGAGGATATCAAAACGAGCATCGGGAAAGCAAGACAAGCTTCCACTACTCTAAGCCTGTGTGGAGATCAACAGCCCTCAGCATGAAAAATAACATCCGAATTTTCAACCTCAATGTGAAGTCAGAGACTTAGCACCGCATCACGAAGGGCACTTCAAACTTACTACAGACCTTCATCAACAGCTGTCTTTGCTCAATACTACTCAATATCGGATGGCCGGCCAGAAGAGATCAGCAACAGGGAGGGATCTTTGGGAGTGAACCAACCCAGCAGGAACCTATTGTGCAACAAATCTGCAGGAAGACATGGAGATGGACTGGATTAACCATACTCTGAGGAAAACTATACAGTGACATCACACGACAGGTCATCACTCAAGTGGCACCCAATGGAAAGCGGCAAGGTGGTCGTAAATGTGGAGAGGACAAGGAGGAGGTCATGTGAAGAGGAGATAAAAGCATATGGCAGATGTGGAGCCAGAAGTCAACGTTGTTAGACAACCAAACGCAATGGTGACGTGCGGCCGAAGCCCTATGTTTCCCTGGAAACCAAAGGAAACAATAATAATAAGTTTGAAAATAAGTTAATATAAGTATAAAACAGTAAAAATAGGAAATATATTACAACTAGGCAACGTATAAATCGTATTTTTAAACAGCGTAAGCGAAATTCTTTGGAAAAATTTTGAATCACTTTAAAAGAGCTAATATATATATATATATGCAAAGACCATTTATTTGTCAACAGTAAACACTGTCATAACTACAAATTATTTATGCATTTGCATTTTTGTTTATTTTACCAGCTAAGTAACTTCGATTTGTCATCAAGTCCAATTTATCTTGGTGGTTATGACTTTCGTGATCAAGCAACATTCAGTTTTCTTCCTGTTAGACAAGGTTTAGAAGGAGCTATTCAGAGGGTAAGTGGTGTTTTTTGTATTTTTATGGTAATGATAAGGTTAATCGTTATTATTTTGTTGGGTTTCAAATGGAACATAAGTCTTCAGTAGCACGTTTACACTTTTTTCTGTTCTCCACGGTCCTCTTAATCCGGACCCACGATTCCCCATAGCCTTTCGTCTCCTCCTCACATGATCTCCTCCATGTCATACTTGGACACATACCCAATTCGTTGACTCCCATTGGGGTTCCAATCGAGCTATAGCCTGTGGCGTGATGTTACCCGATGACCTCCTCAGCATATGTCCTATTCATTTCCATTTTCTTTGGAATATTTGTTGAGGAACACATTCTTGTTTGGTGTGTTGCCAGAGTTTCTTTCTGATAATTCCCTTTGGCCGGCCGGCCATGTATTCCTCAATATGGAGCCAGAGGAAGCACCTGTGGACAGAAGTCTGCAGCTGGCTGCTGGAAATGCCTTTCGTGACGCGTTTGACAAGTTTCTGGCGCATATAGAGGAGCTGACTGATGACAGTTTTAGTGCACTAATAATAAATATTATTTGTCAAATAAGCACTTTTTAATAAGCATGAATAACAAAGTCAGCCTTGTCGACTAATGGTAATTCATCTTCAGACGATGAATTTTCGGGGATCTGATTGATTTCAAGTCAGATTTCGTCAGAAATTTATGGTCACTAAACAACTGTTTCGTCTTAGCCCGGTGCTCTTCAACATCGCCCGCCCCAGTTACTGATAAAGTTGTTATTCTTTAATTCTATTCAAACTGGATCAGCCCAGTTTGCGATATGAGCACTAATCTCAATAACATTACAGCAAAATACACTGAAATGTGGTATCAGACGTTTCTCTCAAATAATAATGAGAGGCCTGTAGATTCTGACCTGTATTTCTGAGTGCTTCATACACAGCACTTGACATTTAACCACTCAGATAACATCTTACCCCCTAAACTTATAGATGGTGGTGATGGCAGTCAACGGAACTGTCGAACTCATGACGCCGATCTAAGTCCGAAATATGGTACCGTAATTAATATCTGATGTCCATTATCGAGTAATATTTTTTACGACTTGTGCTTACAGGAATCTATTATTAACTATTGTCGTACTTCCCGCCAGTTCCTGACCAGTTATCTAACCAGTACCACTCCTCACTACTAAAGTCTGTGCATAAGTAATAAGAGTTAGAAGGCAGGCACCACTAAATTTTATTTCAGTGGCTTCGTGGTGTCAATCTTGCCGAAAGACGAGCAGAAGTTCTATGCTTGAGTACACATAAAGTCGGTTCATAATCTCAAACTAAGGTAGGACAGTTATTATTTAGTAACTTCTGCCTTTTATTATTTTTCTAACTGAAATTGACTTAAGAAGAGACCAAAGTCAAATTTATCCCAGTCACTATCGATAACTTTGGTCATTAAAGAGTAACTACTGTTATGTTGTGTATGTAACCTTTAGTTGTCACTGTCCTGGAAGACTTATCATTGGTTTGCAATTCAGGCTGATGTTGAATAGGCGGAAATAATCGACAAAGCGTCGCAAAGCCAGGTTTCGTGCTAATTAACACTACAGAAAAGCTAATAGGACAGAGGTCTTCCTAGAAATTCTAGTTAGGGTTATCTAATAACTCAGTCAGGGACATAACCACGTGTGGATGACCTCTTGTAGAACATGTTTCGATGACTTATGGCAGTAAGAAGGAAATCCAGAGCTTCTTACTGATTAATTTTAATCACCTAATATCAGTAGCAGCAACTCTGTTTCAGAACACAGGTGCTTCTCATCACTTGTCTATTTGCGACGAAATTATTTTTATTCGTTTCAAACTACTCCTCTTTCCTGATGTATTTCTTCCATTTTCAATTATCTACAGATCAATATAAATGGTGCTGAGGTTGTATTAGCCGGACCATCTCCTGCAGATATGACAAATACACCCGAAGAGTTGAGTAGATCATCTCATCTAATTGAAAAATGGGCAAATACATCACAATGGCAAGGCTCACCATGTGGTCCAGAATATTCACCTTGTCAGTTAGACCAACCAGATAATATATGCCGTCCAAATATACAACGTGCTACATGTGCATGTACAACACCCTTACAGTTGATGCATATGATGAAAGGGAGATTAGATGAACAAATCGATGAAGTTGAAAAACAAGCATGTCTTCAACGTAAAGTAAGTTATTCAATATTGTCATAATTTGTAAGCTTCAATATCAGTTAGATACGTATAAGATCTAATTTCAGATACCAATAACCATTTTCACGTAGATTTTGACAATTTTACCACGGGATCAAATAGTACCAATGTTCATGAGAATTTCAATACTTGTTAGCCAAAAAGAACCATTTTGCGAGGAATACCAGAAAGTCGTCCCTTCGTAGTCCTGAAATATAATCATTACCCTTTATGAATTTGAATAAAGCAAGAACAATGGTTTCTGCAGAATTTGATGTTACTGTCATTTATTTCGCTGGATTTTCATCAGCTCCGTAGAGTCTAAAAAAATTATTAAGTTCATGCACAGAACAAGTTTTAACATACTTGCAAATGCTGCATGATGCCAGTTGACAGGAGGCTCCCAACTTAATAAACTGTGCTCAGAAAATTATACTTATGCAGTTTATACCCACAGGGTTCAAGTTTAAATAAAAGTAAATGTTTCCATACAGTTTTAAAGGGATTATGTAATAAGAATAAAAGGTGATTAAGATACTGTGTAACAAATAAACCGTGTAACAACATAGTGAGTTCAACTCAAATCATAGAAACAAGAAACAAGCTAAGTTACACTATATCTAAGGGGAGAGAGGTTAAAAGCAAGGGTTGCGCAATCAAATGAAAGAGAGAATGGAGACATCCGGTTACCAAGGGGTAAGGAAAGACTGATAACTGAATACAAAAGTCGAGTTTCAGGCGTCTAATAGCAATAGCTTAGGCAAATTTGAGGAGAATTGAGCCAATTCATCTATTGATAATTCTAAAGGACTTCACTATGTTTACCTCATGACGCGTGTTGATATCTGGAAATGGCATTATTGTAAGTGTTTGTTCACTTGTGAGGTAGGCGTTTTGGTATATGTTTAGAGAATCGGAGCTGTGTCCTTCTTTCTGTGTTCTCCCAATGTAACTATTACCACAGATACATATAAACTTGTATACAAAGAGATTACATGTGAAGGGACTCTTCAGCATTACTCACCAGTTAACCAGCTTACATAGTAACCTAAAGTCCTGGCCTCCGTCCCTGGTGATGATGAATAAAATTACTCTACGCACAAGAAATAAAAGGTTAAGAAACATAACAATCAAGTTTCATAATGCTATGAAGTAGTTTTTGTGTGACTACTAATCACTCTGTAAATGAAGCCATCTCACTGTTCATTAAGCTGACATTGAACAAATCAAACTAAACATTAGTTGAACTGCTTCATCACTGAGCGTTTATTGAATACACATAAGATGTTAGCAGTTAAATGTAAAACTTATAAAATCCCACAATAAATTTCCTGGTGACATCTGCTGATGCCCATGAATGCGACTGGCTATGCTGTTATCCCGCCAAAAATCTATCATCTATGTCACCTAACCAAAAAAGATGTAGCTGTCTGATCTGTGAGTGGTATGGGTTGTTATTTTCTAGATCTTTTGAATTTGCTAAGACTCATAGTTTGCGAATTGCACAGTGTAAGGTGAAAATTAATTAAATTTCGCTTTGGAAACTCAAAATATTCAGATAGCCGAAATATTCAGATATGCCATCTTCTACGTGCAATAAACTGCAATCAAGAAAGTAGGCAGAACAATATGATAATATGCAATACTGTGAATTGAAATGTTACTCAACAATCACTTGCATTGCCGTGTATTAAGCGATGAGTTACATTCTTTTAGAGACAGTGAAACTACCTGGCTATCTTAACCTCAGTATGTGCTGTGGGTTTGAACCTGTGACCATGGAGTTTCAATATGAGCGTCAGATCAAATAGTCAAAGCTTCACATACCACCATGCAATTTTAGAATTGCTCATGTTTGTTTCCTTTTCACGGGACTGAAGCAGTCGGTCTCTGAGGACATTTCCTAATTTCAAGAGGTTAAAGTAATGCCTTATATAATTCGCTTGTTTCTTTTATTAATTCAAGATGGAAATGTCTAATGCAAATTCTGGATTATCATTTAAAAATGATGGTCAACTACAATATGATGGACCGAATCGTGGAACTTTTATTGGTGAATCAATCAATGAATTTAATGAAGAACTGCCACCATCAAATTATGATGAAGTTGAAAAGATTTTCATCAATTTCAGTGGTTCAACAGTTTATAAGTATAGTGGACTGATAAGATTCACGTAAGTAATAAGGACGTTGGTTTAAATCATAATTGCTTAAGTGTGCGTCGGTGGCACAGTGGTTAGGACTCTCGCCGACCATGCACATGGTCCCGGGTTCGATCCCCTACCGACGTACACCTGATATCTATGGTCGGCCTGCAAAATTTGGGCTACCGATATCACATGCTGAAAATTCCATACTTGTACCAAAAATACGGTGTGCAGTCAAGCTGTAATCAGAAATCAAAAGATGAATAAGAAAACCAAGTGAATCACTTCAACGGAGTTTGAACGAATCAGTCAATAAATTATTCGTCTTGCAGGTGTAGAACTGGGTAACACTGTGGTAGAATGTAATCCTATATTAGATAAGTTTATCTGATATGACAAAAATTGATGTAGTTATTAATACTGCATCAGAAATACATTTGTTTCCTTATTGTTGCCGAATTCTAGAAGATCTAGATTTCGCAGATGATAAATGTCTTACGTCACACAAACTCAAAGACTTACACGCGAAGAGTAACAAACTGCAAGGCAACGAAGACAGGACTTCAGGTGAACATAGAGAAGACGGAGGTGATGAAGGCAACCAACCAGCACCAACCACCATCAAGTGGAGAGGTTTGTCAGAGGTTACTTCCTTCACTTATCTAGGAAGCATCGTTTCAACCACAGACAGTTGGAACGGATAAGGATGTGAAAGCCAGTCAAAATTGGCAAGGCAAGATACGCCTTCATCAACCTGAAACTACTTTGGAAATCTTCTGCACTCCGCCTCAGCATAAACAACAAGATTCGGAGTTTTAGCACATATGTAAAGTCAGTCAGTCCTTCTATACGGGTCAGAAACTTCCACTGCGTATCCCGAAAAGCATTTTCAACAAGTTACAGACTTTTGTCAACAACTGCGCTAGCTGGCTCCAAATGGAAGATCAAATATGTGGCCAACTAGGAAGAATTAGTGATAAGAAACTCCGTCTGGCAACAAACCAAACAAAGGCTGATCGCCCAACAAATATGTAGAAGAAAATGAAGATGGATCATGACTAATTTGAGGAGGCCGCAAAATGACGTCGCACGCAATGCAGGCCATCGCTTGATTGGAATCCGAATGGGAAGTGACGAGTGGGTCGTCGGTGCGAGGATGACATGGAGGAAGTTTTGTGGCGAGAAGGAGATGAGAGATTATGTTGAATCGTGGAGCCAGTTGAAGAGGACAGCAGAAGATAGGAAAAAGTGATGTGCTGTTGAAGCCCTTTGTTCTACTCAGGACTCAAGGGAATAACAATATTATAATAAATATTGCAAAATTAAAAAATCGTCTTCATTATTAGTAAAATTTGCCTTATTCATAACAAATGTTAAGTAATAAGAGGAAAACATTCAACAGTATATGTTATAAGTTAAAGAACAAGAAAGTCTACCTCATCCTGCCGATGTTTGCCAACTAAGGGAGCATTCTTATCTGAAGACTCCATTTTTCAACTGTTAGATTTAGTCACAAGGCAATATCAGTGAGATTTCACTGAAAACCTGGAAGTACTGGGTAGTTGTTTCACCCTAGTTTGGAATTCTTCATCAGTATACACTCACAATCCCATTGGAGACCAAGTACAAGAGACCAAGGTCGTTGATCATTCAGCCACTTGGGCCAGAATTCAATGACTCATGAATTCTAACTTTCGTCAATTCGAACCAATGCCTTCGATGAGCACCCAGTTCCTCTTAACAACGTGGACGCCACTGGCGACAACTTCTCGCTGCAACTGCAGGACATCTATCCGGTAGCCATCAGTGTAGTGGAGGTTAGTATTCCCATTACGGGATTTACGGGAATTTGGATTATTTTAACCCGTCCGGAGGATCCTGATTTTCAGTGACCTCTAATTGATGTTGGTTCATGGTGAAATCAAACAGCGGGAATTTAAGTAATCCATATCCCCACAAATCCTACAGTCTAGATTTCACTTTTTTTCTCGACGATTCCATACTAGTTTATTCAGTTTTTAAGTCATTTAATTCACCAATAAACCATGTATATCACTGATAGAAGAGATGTACTCAATTATCAATTTCGTAGGATTTATTAAAGACTACATACTTAGTTTGTACTGTTATGTAGACGTGAATCTATGAGGAAACAACATATTTTACGCTGTTGTAGATAGGCCTCATTGATGAGTAGCTAACAGTTTAAGTGGAACATGGCTTTCTACTGATTTTCCAATGAGCCCTAACCGATCAGTGGTAACGTATCTGACAGCAGCAATGAGTGATACGCGTTCAAATCTCAAAAGGGACATTAGTTGCATCTTGTGATTGAGTGGTAGTGTTTACTCCTGGAAATGACTCCCAGAAGAAGTGATGTCAGCGCCCTCAACTGATTCACTGAAGAAGGGTTTGGACAAGCACAGAAAATTACCTGAAAAGGACTAATATAGGTTTGAAGCCTTCTATCTATCTATCGACAAATCTGACAATACCTATGACATTGACAGTGAGCTATAGAAGGGATTCTACGAATCCAAATTTCTTTTTCCTAGACAATTGGAATAGTTCTAGCAAATCAGGTGTGTGTGAATTCCAGTAACCTGCCATAATTTGATAGGATTTCAATTGACGTAATATGGAAACCTAAAAACTGATTGTACCCCATTATAATCTTTCAGTGGAATGAAGTTGTAGCTTATTGATCTACACATTTGCCTTTCAATTATTCAGATATGAGCTTAAATATTCATGCATATGTAGATCGCTTGACAACAAATCAGTGTTGCTAGCCATTCTACAAGCCATAACGCTCATTGCCTAATGACTAGTATGTTACGCGGTTGCTGAATCTCAGTGCAATAGCACAATGAAACCAAAGGCTAGACGAAAGGCAACAGGTAAACTAAGTAAGTAGTTTACCGACAAAATAGACGAAAAGACGAATAGTAAGACAGACAGAAACAATAAGGGAAGAAAACTACGATTCTAATTAAAGAAATCCTAATTAATATTTCTGTAATTCTGATATCAATCTCAAGCAGTTCCAATTAATCGGGCTTCAACAGCAAATCTCCAATATGTCCTATTCTCTGCGATCCTCTTCATCTGGTATCACGATTGCTCATAGGCTCTTATCTCCTCCTCACATGATTTCCTCCATGTCGTACTCGGACACATACCCAGTTCGTCGATTCCCACTCGGGTTCCAATCAAGCTATGGTCTGTGGCGTGATGTTACCCGATGACCTCCTCAGCATAAGTCCTATTCATCTTCATTTTCTTCGGAAAATTTGTTGAGCAATACATCCTTGTCTGGTTTATTGTCTGAGTTTCTTTTTGAAAATTCCTTTTGGCTGGCCAGCCATCTGTTCTCTAATATGGAGCCAGAGGAGGCATCTGCGGACAAGAGTCTTCACCTGGCTGTTAGGATCGCTTTGCGTGACGCGTTCGCCAAGTTTTGGACACATAGAAAAACTGACTGACTCAGTACTGGTATTGAAAATCCAAATTTTAAGCTGCGAAGGGCAGCAGACTTCCAAAATGATATCGGAGTGATGGATTTCTGTCTTGCTTTTCTGATTCTGGTTTTGACACTGTCATCCATGTGGCATGTCTGTAGTTGAAACGATGCTTCCTAGATAAGTCAAAGACCTACTACTCTGTACACAACTCAGATCAAAGGGAAAAGGATTTGCGTTCTTGTGACAGTTCATGGGTCAACAATAGATACATATGCACATCTCATATATCACTTTTGTTTCCCAACTAAGAATTTTACTTTAGCCTACTTAATTAATTTGTAATACCTAATTATAAATCCCTTGTTTAAATGTTCATTGTCTATTCATGTTTTCAAGGTCAGATTTCAATATCCGTCTTCGCCTACGTACAGACAAAACGGATGGCTTAATTCTATTGATGGTTGAACAACCAACGCCTAATGATTTTGAAGACGAGACATTATCATCATCATCATCATCATCAGTCTTATCGTTGAATCAGCCAGTAGCACAGATTACAACGAGATCAGAATTTGTTTCACTTGTATTACGCAATGGACGTATTGAATTGTTGCTCAATTTAATTTCATCAAGAAATAATGAAAAAGTTAAATCACGAATTAATAATAATAATAACATATATTGCTGACAATGATAATGGTATTAGCAATAATGTTGGCGGGACTCTGGAGCATTCGGAATTCAGTCGACTTATGCCTATCCAAGGAAGACATAGAGTCAATGATGGTGAATGGCATATGATACAAGCGATGGGGTTAGCGAACGACAAAATATTCTTAATTCATTATGAATAACTTTTATAAATTCTGATATTATTTGTTGAAGTTATACGGCTTTAGTGTAACTGTAAATCTACATGTCAGGTAGTGGAAAATGTCTATTATGGGAAGAGTAATTTCATTACCTTACCCTTTCATATATGATTAGATTGAGTGAAATATGAGGATTTGATCCACTTATTGAAAGTCAAAAGTTCAGACTGTCGGTCTGTATGTCCATAGTAAAATATATGGGTCTGACTTGAGTTGTACTACTTATATTTCCGAATAGACTGATCCGCACAATTCAGCTATCTCTCTGCCATCACTTACTATGGTAAGCTAGTGTATATTTTAATTGATCAAGGATTCCCATAAGGAATTTCAGAAGATCGATTACTGAAAGAAGAATATTCTTTTCGATAACTTCTTCATCAGGTTCTACAGTTATATACCCATAATAATGAAACACTAAGGCTTATTAACAACATTAGTGTTGTTTAAATAACATCAAATCGATGATAACAATAGATTACAGTTCAGAAGCATCTATAAGCGTGATAATATGCACCAACATAACACCACACTAAATACCAGACACGTGCATCAGTGATATAGTGGTTAGAACGCTCGCCGACCATGCACATGGTCCAGGGCTCGATCCCCGGCCGACACGCTCCTTTACCTCGCTAAGCCAGAAATAATGCTGGTAAAGAGGAAGGGTTGGGCATGAGGCTAGCAACCCCATCCTGTAAAATAAACACTGCTACAGAAACTTCAAGTCACTAGCTTGAAGCCCTATGTTCCACTGGGGAATGTGAAAGAAAACAAAATACCAGACAAATTATAAAAAATAATAATAAAGAATTCCTGAATTTATAGGCTACACAAAAGGCCAGAGCAGCAGTAGTGGTTGGACCTGTTTCTTCTGCACACAGAGCCCCGGTTGTTTCAGGCGGATCGCATTAGCCTCTGCTGCTTGGAGTCTTCGATACCTGGGTGCTTTTGGCGATTCTTTGGTAACCGATAGATGATGGAGAAGGATTCTTCAGTGCTTGACTTTTCGTGCTCGAGGACACCTAATAAAGATGTAGTGAAAAACATCAACAGCACGATATTTGACCACCTGGTCCAAACCAGTCACAAATCTGACATCTAACATTTCTAATGTGTATTTCCTCAAAACAATTTCTCAGATCTTAGAATGTGGGTGTCAAACAACCAGTTTAACTGTAGTTAGCAGGACATTATAAAATTATACAGTTTGAGAGATACCATTTTGTTGTATCTCAATGCTCTCTGTTCTGGATGGTAATATAAGTAGTGTAACACTAAATTTTACCTAACAAACTGCAGCTACTGATTTACGAATAAGTAGTACCATTTTATTTAGCTTCAATTTTTCATGAAAATGACAGCACTTCTTTTAATTTCCAGTAACAAACACGGAGCTACATTATTTGTTGACAATCATATGGTTTCCGGTCAATTTACTGGGATGACTGATTTTAACCACGCACCAGTGCGGGACGTTTATCTTGGTAAGTGGAGAACAGTGAGTTCCTACAAGCTGAGTTACAAAATAAATATGTGCCACTATTTTCAAGAGTTATGTTGACTTTATTACTTGAAAATAAAAAACAGCTGTAGAATTACTTGGAAGCGATTCGTTATCAGAAAGGCATCACTTAAAGTAATTCAATTTTGAAACATTCTGTAGCATGTTCAGTTGAAAGTCACGCTAAAGGATACGAGATGTCTGGGGCTTGATTTTTACTGAGTACCGTGGAACATGTAGCAGTATTTTTAGGAAAAGCACAGTTTTCTAGTGAGATCACGGGCTGAAATCAACCACAGAACCACCGAAAGTTACAGAACACTGGACAGCCTCTTAAAACATACAATTCACTGGGAATTGGGCCCAGGACCACTCTGAACATTCAGACACTGGGATGGAATCCAGTCATCTGAATTCTACCAACTCACTACGCGCAGCACCACTGCCGACGATTCCCAAACTAGGATGAAACAGCTGTCCAGTACTCCTGGCTGGTTTTCAATGGTTCTCTAACTGACATCAATCCGTGATCAACTCGTAAAAACAAAACTAATCCTTAAAAACCGACTATAGAAAATATTTCTATTTATTTATTTTTTTGTATTGAGTAGATTGAAAATCCCCATTGAGTCATATGAAAAAGAGAAGACATTCAGCGAAGAGACTCTTTTCGGCGAATTCATTCACATAGCTGTACAATCGCATTTATATATAAATATTTGTGTGTGTGTGTACATGAGGTTTGTCAAGTTCAGATAATTGATTAGTTAATACAAGAATGATGTAGTATAGAGACAAAGTTAATCAGACAGCAACTAAAGTAAGATTGAGTTAAAAAACTAGATGACGTAATATAATTGGCTAAAATGTTACAACTTAGGTCAGGATAGCAACAGAGGTAATTACAGGTAGAGATTAAGTAGAAATGAAATTGAGTGAATAAGTTGGATGACGTAACATGAATGACTAGAAACTGAGCGTTGTTCAAGTCAGTAACAGTGGTAGTGAGGTGTAGAAATTGAATCGGGTGGGGGTAGAGAACAAGAAAGTTGAAAATGTAAAATGTTACAATTGAGAAGACAAAATAATACTAATGAAGAGACAGAAGAAAAGATTAGGTAGAATTTACTTGTCGGCTAATAAGATAGATTACGTCTATTGCAAGTGTAGTGATTGAACGAACTTCTTCTGTATGCAGAGTTCAGGACTTAGCAAGTGAATCGCCATTGCTTCTGCAGTTTGAAGAAGTCTGATTCGTACACCTTTAGGGAGACTACTTCTTACTCTGTAGACGACTTTGAAGTTTGTTTGCGGTGTAGCTTGGTGTCCGGATTCTATCAGATGTTCTAAGATGGAACTGAGGGGGCCTCGATTTTCTCCTTTGTAAAACCATGCTGGTAAGTGCTCGGTGATACGTTTGGAAAGCGAGCGCTGGGTACGGCCGACATACCTGGCTCCACACGAGCAGGTGAATTGATAAATGCACATTGATGAGGCCAGCAGCGGTAGCTTATCCTTCACGTTCACATGAATCATAGGTTTTGTGGAGAAGGTTAGTCGTAGTTCAGCTGCGAAGAAGGTCTTCTTAAGTGAGCGCGACAGTCGATTTTTTAGTGTTTCCGCAGATAAATCTCCATTGAATTGAAGGTTCATGTAGAGTAGCTTTTTCTTGACGCTAAGTATGGGCGGCTTTTCTGGTCTAGGGTTCATAGATTTTGCAATAAATCTTTCTGGATAGCAATTCTCGACGAGGATTCTCTTGAGGTTGTCCAGTTCATCTTCTATGGTGTCCGGGGTGCAAATTCTGCGAACTCTGTAGCTGAGTGAACGGATCAGGTTTCGTTTGGTGTATAGTGGTACCCAACTGTGAAAGTTAGTAAGCTGTCCGTTCCACGTCGATTTTCTGTGGATAGATCTTTTCAGTGTTCCATCCTGTTCTCTTCTTGTTAGTTGGACGTCAAGAAAAGATATTGTGGAGTTGGACTCTTTCTCCATCGTGAACTGAATTGCAGGGTGGCAGTTGTTAAACGACTTCAAGATGTCGTCTAGATTTTCTTCGTTGTTGACGATAATGAAGGTGTCGTCGACGTATCTTTTATAGATTTCGAAGGTATTGATCATTTTCTTCAGGCATGTGTTTTCGAGTTTTGCCATGAAGAAATCTGCAAGCAAAGGGCCTAGTGGTGAGCCCATAGCTATACCATCCTTTTGGCGATATATTTCGTTGTTGAAAGAGAATTGAACATTCAGGGTACACCTCAGTAGGAGTTCTTTAAGATGCTCGGTGGGTATACCGATGTTTATTCCTTTGGAGTGAATGAGTTCGCATATATAGCATATTGTTTCAGTCAGTGGAACGTTTGTGAATAGTGATGTGACATCTAATGAAATCATTGTCTTGTTGGATACGTTGATATTTTCGATTGAGTCAATAAAGTCGAATGAATCTCGAACTGTGTGGCAGGAAACTTGTTTTCTGATTGGTTCAAGTAGATCTGCTAACCATTGAGCTGTGCGGTGATAGGGTGAATTGGTCATGTCGAGGATCGGTCGAAGAGGGATACCCTTCTTGTGTACTTTCGGGAGTCCGTAAAGTCGTGGTATATTTGAGCCAGATGGTCTAAGGGATTCGAACATTTCGTTGCTGATGAAGGATTCAGTCTTCAGCTTACGGAGGGTGTCCGTTAGCTTTTGTTCGGTCTGTTCAGTCATGTTTTTCTCGTTGATCGGTTTTGTGAATTTGCATTCATCGGATAGTATAGTCAGTATTTTACTGATATAGTCCTTGCGATTCATGATTACGATTCCTCCGCCTTTATCAGGACGTAATATCATAATCTCTTCGTTTTTCATAAGTTCTTTCAGCTCCTTATGGTGCCTCTTCGTCAAGATGGACCTTCCGTTGTGTTTGGTATTTATAAACTTGTGACAACAGTCGAGGATTGATGCTTTGAATTGTTGTAGGTTTTCGTCTGATGTAGGTGTGAGATCGTAAGTTTGGTTTATTAGATTTTCGAACTGAACCTGGCATTGTAGCTTGTCAATACTTGGTGGTTTTACGCAGAATTTTGGACCTAGAGATAGTGCCTCTAGTTGAGTAGTAGACAGTGTGATGTCTGAAAGATTGAATACGTACTTTTCTGGATTGCTTGGGAACGGAGATTCGGTGTTAAATGTAGGCTTTAGGCTTTTGAGAAGATCTGCTTTAGTCTTGTTACATTCTTTCTGAGTGACTTGTTGTACATTTTCTTCGAAGGAATGCCGTAGTTCTTGTATTTTTTGTATTGCTCCTTACTATTCTTGTCTGGACTAGTTAACAAGGATTTCATGTTCGCAAAGAACGCTAAAAGCTGACTGGGTACGGGAAACAGTTGTCTAAGTTCCCTCAAATGTTTCTCTTTTTTAAAACATTCCATTATCTTGTTTTATTTTTTTATACAATTGTATGCTTTCTTTGTGTTTCTAAGGTGGGACATTATCAAAAATTGTTGGCTTATCACCAGATTATCAACAAAACTTCACTGGTTGTATTGCTGATATGCTTATTCAGGAGAGGATTATCTCAATACTTTCACAGGCAACAGTCATCTATGGACCTATTGAAAAGTGTAAAAATGTATGAAACAGAAAGACAGAATATCACGCAGGCTGGTTTTTGTTTCAATTTTAACACACTACAACAATCAACAAACATCACAGTTCTTATCGTACTGATGAAATGAAACAAATAAAAAAAATACATCACTTTAGAATCATTTCAATTTCCTCTTCCTTTTCGTATTGTATAAAAAAATAACTGAATTATATTTACATTATTTTTAGGCCAAATTACGAGCAGAAACAGGAATGACACTGACCCGCTTATAAATATTTATTATCTTCCCAGGTGACATATTCAATATTCATTGGATGACTAAAAACGAATCATTAAACTTGTCATTACTATTATTATTATTTCCTTCTAAAATGTCTACTTCCTTCTACTCTTTACCTTTAAATTTCTTTCTCTTCGAATTTAAATAGTGCGCGCTGTCCTTTTGTGTTTTCTTAATGGTAGCCATCTTTTATCGATCTAACCGCCAACATTGAAATCGATGAAGTTTAAAAATAGTTTAGACAGAAATGTAAAAGCACAAATTAGTTTGTTTTATCCAAACACTTTGTTTTGTCGTTGTTTTAAAAGAAATAATTTCCTAACAGTAGAAATTATTTATTCGAAAACAAAGACGGGACAATGCACAAATCTATGAATGACATTGTGTTCTAATTAATGAATGATGTTTATTCAAATTTTGCATTAGTAACGCACAAATTATTCCATTTCTGCACTCGCACATAATTAAACAACATGTTTTATAGTTATTGTTGTTGTCGTTATTATTATTATTATCATTATTATTTTTCATACTACCTACTTATCTCATTTATTCATGTGAAATGATTGATATTTCAAAAACAAAATATTAAACTTCAGTATTTAGGGAGAATTTAATTATTTGCAAATAATCAAAAATATAAATAGTTGAAAAAAGAAAGCCGAAGCTGTGCTGGTTATTTACTTACTTATTTTATTTTCCCTATTTTAGCCACTTGATTTAAGGAATTTAAAAGAAAAGAAGGCGTTCAGCGAAGAGACTCTTTTCGGCGAATTCATTCACTGAGCTGTACAATCGCATATTTATACAATTTTGTTTGTGTGTGTGTACATTAGATTTATAAAGTTTAGATAATTATGTAATATAAGTATTATTTGGCTTGGAAACAAACGTTAAGATAGAAAATAAAATAGAATTGATTAAGTGAATTGGATGACGTAATACAGTTGAGTAGAATTCAGAGTAGGTCAGGTTGGCAACAGTGTTAATGAGTGGTGTTTAAAATCAAAGAAGGGTAGGGTTAGAGAATAATACAGTTGAAAATAAGTAAGTTAATCGGATGACGTAACACAGTTGACTAGAAATTGGACGTGGGTCAAGTTAGCAACATTGTTAATGAGGGTAGAGATTACAAAAGGGTGGGGTAGAGAATAATATAAGTGAAGATGTGAAATAATAAAATGCAAGAGACAAAATAATACAATTAGTAAGACTGAAATTAAGAAAGATTACGTCCATTGTAGATTTAATGAATGAACGAATTTCTTTTGTATGCAGAGTTCAGGATTTAGCAGATGAATTACCATTGCTTCTGCGATGTGGAGAAGTTTGATCCGTACACTTTTAGCAAGATTGCCTTGTATTCTGTAGATAACTTTGAAGTTTATTTCTGGTTTGACTTGGTGTCCAGAGTCGATCAAATGTTCAAGGATGGAGCTGCGGGGGCATCGATTTTCTCCTTTATAAAACCATGAAGGTAAATGTTCGCTGACAAAGTTCCATATTTATATGAAGCAGTCTACTAGGAACCTCTTTTATCTATGAGATTTATTTGATCAATATATTAAATATTCCGATAGTAAAATTTAGAACAACACATTTAAGCGAACAATATTGCTTTCAATTAGATCTCATCAGGCTTAACTCTAATATGTATAAGTTTACAAATAAAAATTCAACTATAAACCAATCATGGTGTTTTGTCTATAGGATAATACGATGGTGAATATAAATTGCGCAATTAGTCATAATAGTAGCAATGATAATAATAATAGTAATGATAAAAATGGTCTTATCAATAATAAGGATGAAAAAGTTAGGCAATCTGTGATAAGAAACCTGCAAATTTTACATGATGTCAGCTGACAGGAGGTTCCGAACATAGTCAACAGTGCTCAGAAAATTGCGCTTATATAGTTTTTACACATGCAGTTCAAGTTTAAACAAAACAAATATATGCATACAACGGTGAGGGAGTTACGTAATAAAGACAAGAGATGCGTAAGATGCAGAGTGACTAATAAATTAGGTGACAATGTACTGATTTCAACTCAAATCACAGAACAAATTAGTTCAGCGAAGAGTCTCTTTTCGGTGAATTCATTCACTTAGCTGTACAGTCGCAAATATATACAATTAATTTTGTGTGTGTGTGTGTACATTAGGTTTGTCAAAATCAAAATAACAGTTAGTGTGGGTTGTTGATTACATCATCAAAATAATAAAGAAATTAAAATGTGTGATTAATAATCAAAGTTGTAACTAAGTGGGGTGATGTAACCCTACTCACATCTTACCAATCTTCACCCCACTTAGTTACAACTTTGATTATTAATCACACATTTTAATTTCTTTATTATTTTGATGATGTAATCAACAACCCACACTAACTGTTATTTTGATTTTGACAAACCTAATGTACACACACACACACAAAATTAATTGTATATATTTGCGACTGTACAGCTAAGTGAATGAATTCACCGAAAAGAGACTCTTCGCTGAACTAATTTGTTCTGTGATTTGAGTTGAAATCAGTACATTGTCACCTAATTTATTAGTCACTCTGCATCTTACGCATCTCTTGTCTTTATTACGTAACTCCCTCACCATTGTATGCATATATTTGTTTTGTTTAAACTTGAACTGCATGTGTAAAAACTATATAAGCGCAATTTTCTGAGCACTGTTGACTATGTTCGGAACCTCCTGTCAGCTGACATCATGTAAAATTTGCAGGTTTCTTAAAACCTTTCTGTACATGAACTTAATAATAATGATAATCTGTGATAACACGAACAATGAAAAACAGTATGATTAAACAAACAACTGTTCAGGTGGAAGTAGTCGATTAAGGCTAGTAAAAACAAATGAACCGATTAAGTAATGTTAGATTGTAAGGGAAGGAAATGAAACACGTTTATAATGAAGACAAGATTAAGGGATGATAAGAAGGGGGTTGGAAATATAAACAAAGGGTTGTGTAGAAGTCATTAGTTGGTTATGTCTTAATAGGCCAAGGGAGGGATAATGGCTGTATGAACCTTTTTTGTATACATAGTTTAGGTTTAATAGTTCGAATGCCTATCGCCTCTATTTATTAAGTTATAATTTAATGGTGACTTATCAAGTGAGATTCTATTCCAAAGACTTTCAAGGAGTATACGAAAAACATTTTATGCAGCACACCTATGTTTGTCATTCTCTAGCCGACGAATGATTGGGATGCAAACGAAGGATAAGCTTGGTAGTTTTGCCACATCTATGTGTATTTATCAGTTCAACTGCACCTGCGGTAACAGTTATATTGGGCGAACTACTAGACAGCTTAGCCAACGTGTTAGTGAACATCTCCCATCGTGGTTTGGCAAAGGACAGACAAAAACAATTCGTAGCTCAATTTCGTCACACTTAATTGATAGTGGTCATGTAATCGAGAAAACGAGAGCCTGATGAGATCTAACTGAAAACAATATTGTTCGCTTAAATGTGTTGTTCTAAATTTATGTGATCATAAAGAAAAGTTTGGCAACGACCATTTTCAGTGAGTACCTTATCATCTATCCGAAGCTTCTTTTTCGAGTTATTTGACCAGAATATTTTCACTTCATGAATCACGTACTGTAGTCAATTGCATTTGTATTTCAAAGCTGTGGAACTCTACAATATATGAAATATACTCACTAGGGCAATAGAAAGAGAGGAATAAGTAATTAAATGAAGAGTTGGTCTTTACCGAAGAGCGACCATATCGATCAGCTGATCAGGGGTTACTACATATACTCCGTATTGTTCCGCTGTCTGTTTCCCTCGTCATTCTAGTGACCAAAAATGAAATGACATTGTCATCACATCTACTGAGTATACATCATAAGAATATGATACAGAAAGATGACAGCTTAACCCTCGATTTTCAGAATCAGGAATGTGTCATTTAACACACTGAAATCCTCATTATTCCCCTTGAAGCCATTGTTTCTCTCATGCATTTCAGTTTATTATAGTTTCTTCACATATTTTTTACTTTCAAATCTCCTATCCTTTTTAGAAATTTAACACCGTCCTTTACATTGTTGTATCACCGGATTATGCAGCGGCTGTAATTGTTTTACCATCTATTTACTTAACGCATGATAAGTTAAAGTTAACACTGACGTTTAGCAGAGCTTAGTGAAAATGCAGCTTGATGAACTGAACACTTGTATCGCAGTCATCCGGTCCCAGGTTCGATTCCCTATTCATCTACCCAAGCCTGATGAGTCAGAATACCACCCACTTACCCAGACTAAAGGAAGAGGTAGACTGACGTAAGTCGAAAATCAATCAACCTCTACTAATGACGGACTGACTGCACGAGTTTTTACGTAGAACTTCGCACAGAAGTGCAGCAGTTCAAGTTTTTCACACTCCATATACCTCAAAAAGGTAAATAAAAAGTTCAAAGGAACTATTATAAGCAGAAATGTGTGGGAGAAAAAACAGTAGCATGGAAAAACAATAATGTCTTATTGCATATGGTAGATCGCAGAGAGTGACTTCGTCTACGCCAATGAGAACAATTATGAGCCATATCGCCAACTGTCTCCAGACATCGGTTCTCAGAATATCGAGGACCCCAGCCAGCCAGATGGTCTACACCTCCTTACCTGGCTAGCTCAAACTAAGCTAACATTGTCCGCCGAGGAATCCACAACACGTGTCCTAATTATCTCAATCGGTGTAGCTTTACAAAATCATCGATTGATTT